AAATAATTAGAACTAATTAGATTTCAACAAAAAATTATAGGCGAAAACTTAAATGAGTACCAGGCAAGGGTTAAAATAAATTGTACAAAAGCGTGTGTGTTGCCATAGTTTTAAATTTTTATTGAAGGATAAAAGTTTTTTTTTTTCAAAATTTTCGACGCTTTTTTTATCAAAAAATTTAAGTATGTATGTTCTTTTTTTTGACTTAATTTTTTTAATATTTTTTATTTAACTGACAATATGCAATTTTTAAATTATTTACTAAAAATAATAAAATAAAGGAATAATAAAATAAGTCTAAAATCAGAATTCTGCAAGAATGACTGGTTTGAAAAGTGTTACTTTTTCATAGAGTTTTGGCCTACCCAAAATTTATAGTTTGCGATTATAACCCAAAGCCTCTGTTTGTTTATTCTTCTTTAATATTTTTTTTTTCATTTTTTACTTACCAAATTAACTAATAAAATATTGATAAGTAAATTTAACTTTTAAACATGGATAATATAATTGTAGTCCACTCCTAAATTATTTATCAAAACTAATGGTTAGCCAGTTTGAATAGTTTTAGGAGTGTACAATCATCCAGCTACGTTTTAAGTTAGGTTAGAGTCGGCTAATTATTGATAGGTCTAACAGCAGTTTATATCCAGTTATCTTTATCTTTCGATGATTTTTAGAATCTGTATTAAAAAAAAAATTTAAAAATGTTGCTTTTAAAATAATAATTAATTTTTTAAAAACACATATGTAACTACATACATGTAAAGATGAACAAGAGCTTTGATTTAATTATGTAAACAAATACTCAGTTTAATCAAGTTAATTTATATGCTTTCATTCATATTTAAAAATTGATTTAGTTTGCAATTCATTTAAAAAATCATAAAAAAAAAATTTAAAATGTTTGACAGTAGATCAATTTCTATTTGTGTTCTACAGTTCAAACAAAATTTAATCATAATCAATTTCAAATCGATTTCTCTACGTATTTGAAATCGATTGACATTGAATGAAAAATTCATTATAATTTATTTAAAGTTCAAATATCATGGATTTTTTTATGAATATTATGTATGTATATGTATACACATTTAATTCAAAAAAGGATCGAAAATAATATATATGACTAACAGTATTTTAAGAAAATTGATTTTTGTTTTCTGTTTTCTGTAAAAATATTTCACAATAGTTGACCACAAAAAAAAATTCTTATGTGCAAACGTCATCTGTAAATTCTATCTATTTTGGGTTTGTATGAGCATTGAACAGACAGGTAAAATAGAATACATTGTATATTATGTAATAAACATCGAACATTTCATTTCCATTCTAGATGCAGTTTATGTTTGATACATGAGGTTTTCTGAGAGTCACCCCTTCCATTTTTTCTCTTTTCAAATTTAATTTGAGCATTTACTCCTCTATTAATTTTTAAATTTTTTGCAATGCTTTCGGATTTTATTAATCATAATATTTGTTCACTGTACTATTTTTTATACAATTAGCAAATAATATAATTTTGTGCTAATTGATATGATTCAACAAAATGTGTCTTAACAGAACAATTTTTCTAAAATGCGATAACTCCAAAATTAAAATTTTTCAGTATAATTTTCAGAAAGTTATGAAAAAACTTTTAAATTTTATTTTCTCCTTAACGAAAATTTCAAATAAATCTGACCGGGTTTGGGTGCAATAAAAATTTCATAATTTTTACTCAAGTTCTAATGTTAACTAAAATTTGATCAAAATGAAGTTACTGAGTTTTTGGTAAATTTTCACAGAATTTCGGTCTGTCATTATTTTGACAACTGATACTGTTTTCGTTTTTCAATATATTTGATGAGATTGCTCATTGTTTCATTTTATTCAAGTAGTAATAATAATAATAATATTATTATTATTACTCAAATATGAAATTCAGCAAAATTTTTGCAACATAACTTCAGAAAAAAAAATAATGAACTTTTGTTTGTTTTTTGTTTTATTTTTTGGTATGTAAATAAACTATTGAGAATGTGCTTGCTTGTGCGAAATATATCGCAGAAAAAATGCTTTAAGTTAAATTCATTGCTTTAAAGAAAGATGTACGCGCGGTGAAACGCCAGGCCTCTTTTTTAAAAAGGGGCTTTAAATTTAATTAGAAATTTTTTGAAATATATTATACAAATTATTCAAAAAAAATTATGTCAACATTAACCTACTTATGTGCATATACGAGTATAACGTAGGTGCTATAAAATTTAGTTCTACTTATTGCCGAAGAAATAGTAAACATTTTTGTCAATTTAAAGTTACCTTACATATGGCGATGTATCGAAATCCACATTAACGCTTGTAAAAAAACTTATGATAGTATTATAAAAGTAAATTAAGAATTTATTAAATTGAACTTATTTTCCATTTTATTCCATTGTTCTATTAAATTGAACTTGTTCTCCATTTTATCCAAAGTTTCTTTAGCGTCAAGATTTCAGGAATAAAGGGAACAACTTTATTTAAAAACAATAAACTTTAATACTGTTCCAACAATATTTCAATATTTTTAATATGTAATATAACCAAAATAATCTGAAAAGATTTTATCATTTGAGTGAATCACAGTGCCGGGCTAGTATTGGTTTTAGCTTTTTAAAAAATGTTAATGAAAAAATTAAAAATTTTTTAACATAAATACATACATAGCTATGTATAAATGTATGTAAACTACAACATTAATTCTTTGTTTTTATTTTACACTTGAGTAAACGTTACAAACTTTTTATTACAATGCGTGTTTTGTGTGTATATTTAAAAATAATTTGTTTATTTTTTACAATTTATTTACTTATTAGTTTTTATTTGTCTGTAACATTATTAAATTAATTATATTTAACCTAATTTGGAATTCTCTCTTTTTGTATAACATGAAATTAAACATCAAATGCACAGTATACACATTATTATTGTATGTGGTATGTTAACATCACGTACATATGTATGCACATTATGTGCATTTGCATGTTAATTATAATTATATATACATATTATAATTAATGAATCATTTACATATATACTTTTAATACAATTTATAATCTTTTAGTTTTAACAATAGATAGAAAATAAAAATTTATAATCTTATTTAGAACAATTAGTCATATATGTTAATAAATACGTACGCATTTATAGAGATGAAGAAACGGAAAAAATATAAAGCATAGATTAAAATAGAAAAATGAATGATAACTGATAAATAACTAATGCGGTCGATACATTAGTATGAACGCATCAAAATTACATTTTAAAAATATTGTTCTAATAATTTTTAAAATTTTATAGAACGTAAGAAGTAAGAACGTTAACCTAACTAATGCAGTTACAATGCTACATAACTTATTTTTAGAGTTACACCACAAGTATATTGATTGAAGTTTAGAATTTTCTTCAACAAATTTCAAGAAACTTCAACAAATTTCAATAAGATCCTATTGTCTGCCGAATAATTTTGTATGAATAATGGGCTTATGATGTAAAATAAAAAACTCAGCAAAAAATATTTAGAAGAGTCATAAAAAAATTTTACCCTTAAAATTTTATCTCTAAAATTAAATTAAAGTTTTTGTCATATCCCTCTCATGAGTGTTCATCTATTCTTAAATTTGCAACTTACGTAATAAGTCAATAAATTTTGCAATTACATTCATTATAAACAAATAAGTATTCGTTGTCAATGCTCTCTTATTATTTATATAAGTAAATTATATCATATAAAAAATACAATTAGTAATTTAGTAATTGTTCTTACATTTCGTTTCGATTTTTAATAAAGTTTATATTTACTTAAATTAAATTTAATTGAACAGTATGTCGATATTTTTTATGCTAATATAAATGATCTCACATGTTTACGATTGAATACTATACATATAGAAATATTTCATAGAATTATTCCATAGAAAATTATAACATGCGTTTATGTATAAATAAAACACCATATATGTATGTATGTATATTACTCATTATGTAAGTACAATTTTCTTTACTGTTTAAAATAAGTATGTATATTGATCGTAAATTGAGAGTAGAGAAACTTTGAGATAAATTCAAGCAAAAAAAGAAAAGTGTAAATTATTTTAATTAGAATTATTATTGAGTTTATCAGAATTTCAATGAATTTTTCGAAAAAGAAAACACTCATTTACTTATTTGTTTGTTTGTTTGCATATTTTTATACTATTACAACACTACTCCGTATACAGCAAGGTGAAATTTAATAAAATGTTTTTATGTAAACCCATTACAACTTATTGCTGTAGACAGAAAAACTTTTATATAAACTAGTTTATATTAAAAAATTAACATAAGTATATATAAAATTAATAAATAATATCTACTTATTGTTTGTTTGTTTTATGGCATCTCTATTATTATTTTTGGATTATTGAATTTTTCAAACATAAATGTATATTATATATACATAGGTATATGGAAATTTTTAATTGTCTAATTCATCAGATAATCACACTTAATAATTAAATTGATAATCACTAATTTACTCATGCACTGTAGTTCATATTTATATAGGAATAATATAGGAATTTGGTCATAAATATTTTGTAGAACTATTTTTAATTACTTAAGAATATGCAACAATGAAGTCTAAATATTAGGACGTGAAAAATAATAGGTACAATAAGTATAATGAATAGGAAGTCTAAGCATAATTTCGTTTAATATATTGCTATGCATTCTAAAATATTTCCTTTTGCAAAATATTAAAGTTCATGATTCTATATGAAATTAAAGTTGTTTTTTTGTTACACTTTTGGTGGATGTAATAATCGATAAAATAATATCATTAAATAATTTTCATAAACTTGGTAATTTTATTTGTTATTGTCCCTTCACAATATTTATATATTATAATAATTGTAGCTGTCCTTGTTTATCGTTTTTTTTATATGAATGTCAAATATGTTAGGCCCCTACTAACAATATTTATATTTAATACTTTAATATAGGCCAAACCAATTCTAATAAATTAGTAAATTCATCGTTCCATACGTATATTGGTAAGTTATTAAAGTAAATAAAACTATTTATACTCTCTAATTTAATTACAATAATTCTAAAAAGAAAACATATAGAAAAATCTAAAATTATTTTATTCATATTTTGTTCCAGGTGGGGCATTTGAAGGTGTTGTTGACGATACTATATCACCGTTCGGTTATCGTAAAGGAGAAGGTATTGATGCAGGTTATGGTGAAATTGATTGGATCTGTAATCGTGATAGAACAAGAACCGATCCCATTTTTGAAAATCTAAATCCAATAGATGGAAAAATATCAGGAGCTGGTAAATATTATTTCTATTCAAAAAAGATATAAAATAATTGAATTAATTATTCATATACATAATGTATATAATATAATCATTTATTATTTTATAATTTTAGCTGCTAAATCTGAATTAATAAAATCAAAACTACCAAATTCTGTATTAAGTAAAATATGGAAATTATCAGATGTTGATGCTGATGGCTTCTTAGATGTTGAGGAATTTGCTTTAGCAATGCACTTAATTAATGTTAAGCTTGACGGTAATGAATTACCTAATATACTGCCGGAACATTTGGTTCCACCATCGAAAAGATGTTAACCTTAAGTATTTATAAAATATTGAAATTGGAAAAACTAAAAAAATAAAAATGAAGTATAATATCAAATAAAATAATAAAAGTGAAAAATTAGAATTAAAAGATTATCCAACAAGCTGCAATAATTGTATTAGAACCTATTTTTACATAATCATTTATAAATGTATAGTGATTAATTATTTACTATTTCTTTTGTAAAATATATAAAATATAGTTTGGACTAAAATTTAAACTCTATTTAATTTGGACATTTTTAAGCAGAGCAACATTATATCGAACAATTCTATATTAAAAGTATATTGACTTTCTTATTTAAATGACTATTATTGTAATTGATATTAATTAACAATTGTTGCTACTTGATGAATAATAATCTAAATACTTAGTAAATGAATAAGTTTGTAATACAAGATTATTAAGAGAAAGCTAGAGGAAGGATAAAAAACATTTGTGTGAATATTTTTGTATAAAAAAAATTTTTTACGACACATCTTTAGAATTAATGATCGTAATACTTGTTTCCACATTTTTTTTTTTTGTTTTGCAAATATTGCCAATTGCATATTATATAAGTGAAAATTATCATCAATATTTTTTAATTTTGGCAAAAAAAAGTTCCGTGTTGTATTTTTGAATAATATATATTTTAATTAAAAGAAGTATCTTGTTAAAAATCAAACATTTTTGTATACATTATTACCTGTTTCTATAATGCTAATATTCTTATAACCCGAAGCAGTATTTAAGTAGAACTTCAAATAAAATGTTTTATAAAGAACATGTACTGTATAATTTTTAGCTATATTCAATATAATGTATATTCATTTTCTGCAAACATTATGATTTATATTTAAAATTTTTAGTTTCTTCTTTGTTATGTTAAAAATTAGATCGTTAGTCATGTAGGCGAACGAATTAATTGTAATTAACATTTACTGTTTCAAAAACGTGTTAGAATTGAAGAAAATTTAAATTAATAATCAAATATAATCAAAATTTTTTCCTTATTTTTCAATAGAAAATGTACTTTTCTATTATACCAAATTTCATCCCTCAATATTGAATCGTTTGTTTCTTAGTAAAAAATTAAAATTTTTAATTTCTCAATACGTTCCTAATTTTTGAAAACTTTACCAGTTTGCGTATTATTTGCGAAATTATGCATTAATTCCTTTTTTTTTGTAATAAATTTTCGCACAAATTTGAGGTTTAATTTTTTTTAATTATTTTTCAGGTTTTATTCTGATTTGTACTTAGTAAATGGATACCCATTTATTAAATATGAATACTTAAATTAAGTTTATAATTGTCTCCACTATCTGATATCTAAAATCATTTCAAATTTGAAATGCTTTAAACATGCTTTTTTGAGTTGCTTTTAAATATGTGTACACATGTATAAGTATATAATTTTAAATATCTATTTCATGTTTTTAAATTTGGCATATAATATACAATTAATATTTAAATTTTATTTCAAATATGTATGTATATACTTGTGTAATATTATTCAAAAATAATGTCAAAATATCGCAATAAATATTTTCTCTCCCCATTGAAAAATTTTGATTAAAAAACTATATTGAAATATGTATGTAATGTATTTTTTTATATAAAACGAATATTTTTCGATAAATGATTTAAAAAATTGTGCACAATACTAAAATTAGATTTAATTATTTACTCCCAGATGAATTAAAATTAAAAATAGAATGTGTTTGTTATTTAATTAATATTTAAAAAATGTTATTAAATAAAATATTTAAGAATATAACTATTATTATGCTAATTTTTTTTTGTTTTATGCCAAATGGATATGCTCTAGAAATTAATTCTTTTTTATTTTTGATCATTTTTGTGTGTTAAAAATTATTTTAGTTTTAAAAACTGATGTAATTTAAATGAAATAATGATTAGTTAAAGATATTTTAATATTAATTTGAAACAGAATATCGAAAATATTTAATTGATTTACTATTATAAGAAAATAATAGGTATGTTTATTTACTTAAAGCACAAAATTAAAGTAATAACTGCAGTATCACAAATTTTATGTAGAAATTTCACTTAAAACCCACACAAATTTAAATAAAAATTTATTAACAATATTTGACTAATACCACTTATGAGAATGAATAATTGTTTCGACTATAGCTGTATGTTTTTCATAGTAAAATTCATTATATATTTAAAAAAAAAAATGTGCAATAAAAAATTTGTGAAGTTGGTTTATTTTCTAGAGCGTTTTGTTTCTTACTGTTTCTATAATTTTTAAGTATATCAATCTTTTTCTTTATTATTACATATATACTGTTTTCAAAAAATTTGTAATAATTTATATTGCATTTATATAATAATTGCATACTTATATCATATTATATTTATGTAACATTAAATTCATCGCTAAGAGGACAAAGACAAATAAAAATTTAAATATTTGAGTAAATGTTTTATTTATTATTCAGTGCTGGTTTGAACGAATCCTTGGATATTATATTTAGAGTAATAAGGCATAACTAACAGAATTATCAATTGCGATTGAACCGATTTTGTTGTTTTGAATTCTGAATAAATTGACATTAATTTTTTAATATTTCTTAAGCATAGCTAGTCATAAAAATTTTTATGCTAATGAATTCGACAAATACAGAATTTAAACTTTTTGTAAAAACCATTACGAAATGTTGATGTATTAGGAAATTTATAATAAAAAGAGCTTATGACAATCCAATGTGTTTTTACATTAAAGGTATTTGCATCTTTGTTTCTAGTTTTGTCATGGAAACAACCATTATATGAAATCTAATACTATTGCGTAATACTACATTATAACGTTATACGAAAGAAATAAAACCATGTAACGAGGTTATGATAGGAGAGCGAAGATTAGCATTTCACCGCGAAATTTATTAATTTTTGTATTTTAAAAGAAAAACTAAACATACTGCAAAAGTATAATATGAATAAATAAATTATAATCAATTTGATTTTTCAATAAACATGTTGTTTTCTCATAGAAAACTGTTATTTTCGATACGAATTTTTTTTATTTGCGATACGAATTCCAATACCTTAAAAATTTCAAATTGGTTTCAACGTTCAAAACTGACGTTTTATCTCCCTTAACTTTTGTCAGAACTACCTTGCATAATATTTCTTCTATTACGAAGATATACCAATATGACTTACTAGCTTTTTTACTACGTATGTTTCTTCAAAGAGTTAGGAAGGCAAAATACTTCATTAATTAGGTAATAGACTAAATCATGCATTTGTTAATGTTTGTACGCATACATATCATGCAAATACGTACATAATTTTATTGATTCTATGGAAACTAAAGGATAAAACCTTAGAAAAATAAACGAAAATTTTTTCTTTTATTGAATTTTTAATTACTTTTCCTTTAAAATATTCTTCAAAGAATCGATTTAAGTAATAATTTTCGATTTTAAGTAATAGCATGTGATTTTTTAAACCTTGATACCAAATATGCCATTTACAAAAACAACAAAATATTCAACTTAACGTTCAAATTTGTTATTTAAAAAGGACTTTTGTTGTTACGGTTACCAATTTTTTGTATGTTTGTTTTTTTTTTGTCCTTTAATAATATTTTTCATAAGTGTAAGCAATTAAGGACTTTTTATGAATAAATATTTCAATTCTAGAATTTATTTTAATTAAAAAATGGAAGAATATACAACAAATCGATATAAAATGATTGGAAAAATCGGTGAAGGTGTTCATGGGTATGTTATTAAAGCAATTGATTTAAATACTAATAAAGAAGTTGCAATAAAAAAAGTTCCTTTGCGTAATAAACATGGTAATATTAGTTTAACTACAGTACGAGAAATTAAGGTTTTACAACATTCCAGCTGTGAGTACGTGAGTACAATAGTTTTTTTATATTTTTTTAATAAAGAAACAAAAATCAATTATAATTCCAATCAGATTATAGGATTAAATGAAATATTCCCTGATTTAGTTGGATTGTCTTTGGTATTTGATTATATGCCATATACATTATATGGCAAATTGAAAAGTGAAAATAATCCAATGAGCAGGCAAGAAGTAAAAAAATATTCTAGTATGATGTTTAAAGGCATAACTTACTTACATAGTTTAAAAATAATGCATAGGGTAAGTTGATACATATATGGATATACTTAAATCGTATGCTTGTCGTATTAAAATTAATATTCTATAATATAAAATTAAATTTTTTGAAACTTTTACACAAATTATTACGTTGTTTGAAAGGATATAAAACCCGCTAATCTCTTAATAAGTGAAAATGGTGTATTAAAATTGGCTGACTTTGGTTTAGCACGTATTTACGATAAAGAAGATCCAGAGAAATTATACTCTCCACAAGTTGCAACTCGATGGTATCGTGCACCAGAGATATTATGGGGAAGCCAAAAATATGGACCAGCAATTGATATATGGGCAGGTGGTTGTGTCTTAGCTGAAATGCTTAGAGGAGTTCCATTATTTGCGGTATTTTCTAAAAAAAAATGAATTAAAATGCTGACTATGTAAAAAAATTTTGTTCGAAAATTTTATAGGGTACAACTGATATTGAACAATTAGCTTTGGTAATAAGAACATTAGGAACACCAAATGCTGTGGAATGGCCTGAACTACGTAGCTTACCTGATTTCAATAAAATTAGGTAACTAAATATAAAAATTAAATTTTTATTTTTGTATTTATTTTATTGGGTAATCATTTTTTATAATTAAAGTTCTTTTTTCTTATTTTATTTCTTTGTTTTGCTAATAGTTCCTCAGACAGACATTCTTTTATTTGTTGTTTTTATAATTTTCGATTATTCTAAAAATATTCAACATTTTATTTTTATAGATTCCCTTATTCTAAAGGAGAAAATTGGGAAAATCTATTTCCAAGTTGCACAGGCGCCAATGAAATAGATTTAGTTACAAAACTTATTCGCTACAATCCTAAATATAGACTGACAGGTGAACAGGTAAGAAGGAGGCTATACAGGATTAGTAAATATTGTTGTTAAAAATAATTTTTCCTTTTTTTTTTTTGCCTTTTAAAATCATTGGAGGCTGTACAACATAAGTATCACAATGATGCAGAATGAAATGCAACTACATGTATAAAATTTTGTTTTAATTATGTGTGATTTAAGATATTAAGTGTGAACAATAATTTAGAGGGCAAATTAACATTGAAATTGGACAAAAATATGCGTGAAACAATCATTAATTTCAACGATTATCAGAAATTATTTAATACATATATGGATAATCAGAAAATAAATTATAAAATATTGAAAATTTTTATTTTTTTTATATTTTATATATCGTTAAAAATCCAGAACTGTTATATTAGTATGGGGTTAAAAATGAATGGGGTTTGTATCATATTCAAAAATTTTCTCAGGCAAAACTGTTTAGTCTAAATTATTATTAAACCGAAATTATTTAGTAAAGTTTCAAGAATTTATAAAATTCCAATATTTCTTTTTAACAGTTTTAAGATTTTTCGAACCATAATAGAAAATAATAGATATACACACTCATACTTTATGAACTATCAGCGATAAGTACATAATAATACAATAAATGTACATTTATATATATATATATATATATATATATATATATATATATATTGCATCAAATTGAATATAAAAAGGAGGAAAGTTCAAGTAAAACTGAAAATAATGTTAAAAATTCAATTTATCATTTAAAAAAAATATCATTAATGCACAAATTAAAAATCAAACTTTTCATTAAAAATCTGTAAATTAAGTACAGCTATTTTGGAAGATAAAATTTAAATATTTCATTTGACTTTTAGTTGACCTTGAGATATTTTCAATGATTTAAGATAGACAAATGGAATTATACATATAAATAGATTTTTATGTTCAAATATACAAACTTATTTCCATAGAAAATTTTTATCTATTTCCACCTTTCTATTAAAGTTTCTATAGATCCTCAAAGTCCTAAAAATGCAGCTTTTTGTTTATTTATTTAACAAAATCACGAATATATTTTTAATTTTGCAAACGCAGAAATGTGACTAGCTTTCTCCACCGCACCTTAGCATATAGTTGAGCACAAAGTGGCCGTTGGAATTAACCGTTATCTAAAAATCTGCTTATCAGATTTTTGATACAGTTTTTCTTTTAGAGCGTAAGCTGTCGTGGCTTGAAATTAGCAGTCTTTAAATGTTAATAAAAAGTTTATTATGCGTGATTAAGTCTATCACCTAAGTAAAGGTCCTTAGAAGACCTTTTCTCCATCTCTATTCCTTCTAAAGTTTATCATGCCATCAAAAAATATAATTGTTTTGCTTATATCACGCAATTAACCCTTGAATTATGTTAACTCCTCTATAAATTTTTTGTGGCTTATCCTAAATGTATGCAATCATTTGAAATATTTCGGTATTGGTGAAAGTAACATGGTAATAGACTGTTCTTAAACTAATTTCCAACCATTGGTTTGACTCAACTTTATTTTTTATTTAGCTAATTAACCTTTAATTTCATTCAAAACCTTTTAGATAAAAATCAAATCTGGATCTATGTCTAATACATATGTAAAAAATATAGTTTAAATTTAAAATGTTTAGGATTTTAAATATTATATGTTAACCTAGTGTCTGCTTTGAAATCACACTATTACGAACTATGAGTCTAAACTGTTAGACGAATGCCAATTATCATATAACAATAGTAACGATATAAGGTAAGAATAGAATATGCGTAATATTCGTGAAGTATATACTATATCAGAGATGGGGAACCTTTTTAAACATTAAGGCCAAATATAAAATAACAGTAATTTCATTTATAAATTAAATTTTTTTTTTTATTTTAAATTCAGTTTTTATTCATTTCAAATTAATTTTTTTTTATTTTCAATACATACATAAATACATGCAAAAATTAATAAAACTAAATTAATAACAAAAAACCAGTTAGACTACATTTAGTGAGATATTTGTTGCATTTATTTTTTACTTTAGAAAGAAATTGAAATATTTAAAAGGCATACAAATGCAAAAGGCCGCCGCCAACGCTGCACAAAAAATCCGCGGAAGCCGCAGGTTTCCAACCTCTGCATTATACTATATATATGTATATACACAAAAAATTGCATTCATATGTATGTATATATAATTTGCAGTTTCATTGATAGTCGATTTATAATACACGTTGCAGAAACTTTATTTAGTTGATAGTAGATTGACTTGTTGATTAAATATCAAATTACATACATTGGCACACAACTTGCGCAAAATCATATTTTTAATATTTATTTTCTCTCAAATAATGTATTAAAATTTTTTGAAAATTTGTAACTTACAACCGGTTTTTTAAACAGCTGTTTCAAATAAAATTGATACAAAATTTTAACATGTGAAACATTAACCTGTTGAGTATTGTTTTATTTACATTTTTTAAATGAAAATGTCCTTATTGGGAATTTCTGTATAGAGAAGAAAATTTTTGAGTAAAAAATATTTTCCTTTCGACGCAGGTTTTCAAAATATCCTATTTATGTACACATATATTGTTTTTAAGTAATTTTGGGTTCTAATTCATTAATAATTTTATTTCTTTTCAGTTTCTAGTAGGACGTCAATACCTTAAGTTAAAAATTAAAGAGTTCATTGTTGCATTGTTTTAAATGTGAACAGAAGAAATATTTAAAAAAAAAGAAATTAAAAGCTTACTAATTTAAAAATCTCTAATAGAAAAAAATTATTTTATTTTCGAAATTTAAAAATTTAATTTAATTTATAAGTTTATAATATTAAAAGAGATAAAGAAAATATCTTAAGATGATTTTATTTTTCATTTGAAAATTTTCTAATAAAGAAGATTGAAAATTCAATATGGACGCGAAAAAATTATGTATCCTGTGAAAATTTTCTCATAATTAATTTTCATCCAAGTAAATTACATTAAGGGAATTAAAGTATGAAATTGTAAAATTAAAATAATTTTGTTAAAAATATCTAATAAAAAATATTATTTAAATAAAAGCAATTTATTAAAAATCATAAATTTACTTTAAAATTCGTAATAATTAGAATATATGTACATATGTATATATTATATAGGTTATTTTGCTATAATTTAGACAATTTTAATTGCCAAATTAAACTATCGTTCCCGCTAGTAACATACATACATACATACATACATTTTTCGTAAATGGAAATTCGAGCTGATCAATTCTCTTCCAAATTTTACGAACTTTAACAAATTTTAGTAAAAATTAATTTTTACTTAAGTTGTAAAGTAATTTATGTAGAAAATTAGTGTGTACACATTGTTTTTAGAAGCGCACATCTATACGTATATATACCAATATATAATATAGTTAGTTTTATATTATTGCTTTTGATAAAGTGATTTTGAAGTTATTGTAAAAGAATTTTTCCACATTATTTTTTCGATAAACATTTATTATGAGCTTCTTTGTAATTTTTATTTTGTGTACCCTGATATTCAAAGGCAAAATATATCTAGATGTGTGTTTCTACATGGCTATACATATATTTATTCAAAAGTATTGAATTAGAATACTTACATATATATACACCATTTTATAATTATATATTAAATACATAGTCGATACAAAACGGTGTATGTCTCTTTTGCTTCATTTTAGTTTAATTGCTATATACTTTTGACCTAGAAAAAAAAAATTTAAGTTAATAAATAATTGATAATAATTTTTTTTTTTAAATTACATTACTTTGAGCTATAATTATTATTTTTATAATGACAATTTTTTTTTTGCATTGAAAAAAAAAACAAAACACTTGTTAGGCACTGCATAGATCATTAGAAATAAAACCATGGGCAAATTTACAAAGAAAATTAAATATGCATATACCGTGACTTCTAAAATGCAGTAAACAAACTTCACCATTACACAACCACAATATATAGTAGACTTTAAAACAATAAAATTACTTTACGCATATTAAAAATATCTCTTACAAATGTCATATTTGAAGTATGTATAAAATAAAAAGTTTTAGAATTATAAAATCATATATGCGAACTAGATTGATACTAGATCTCATAGGTCTAAGAAGGATTCGATAAAATTTTTTTGAAATGAATACAATAACAAACTAACTTTTTTCGGCTGCTGTATTTTTCCTTCTTTCTGCACAATAACTATTCAAATAATGCATTATGGAACAGGCTGCATTGTAGTATCTTGTCATAATGCATTTCGGATCAGTAGGTTACATTGTAGTTATTAGTTAACTTTATATGGAGAATTATGTTAAATTAAATACTATTAATGTAGTATTGCTTAGTATTAATGCACAAATTGAGATGTCGAAAATTAACTTCGATTAAATTATCAACTCTTCGACGGAAATGAATTTTAGCATTGTTTCAACATCGTTAAAACGTTGCATTGCGGTTAGAACCAACCTATTTGCCATTACAATTGAAAAAAGGAGTAAATAATTTTGTACATCTCTTAGGATCTAATGTAATGCAATGAATGAAATTTTTTATTTCAAATGCCCTTACAGCAAATAGCAGACTTTATAGAGAAAATAATAAATCAAAAAATTATCATAGTTTTGCTATTTAGTAATTAGCATAAAAGCAATAAATTGGCTTGGAACTTTACTAGATTTATAGAATTCGCTGTAACTGTTAATCCTTTTTACAAGATTTTTAAAAAAACGTCAAGTCTAAATCATATTCTTAAACTCTAAGTCTAAGTAAATAGACCTATCTAATTGTAAAAGGTTCTGACTATAGTATATTTGCTAGAACGTTTCGCGCTACAATCGATTACTTAAATTTGATTTTGATTCGTTCCTCATCACAAAATTATCATATTAAATTTTCTTTGTGAATTTTTGTGAATTTGCTTTAATGAACAGTGATATATTTTCTGTTACAAATTTTTTGAAACTTGCATCTGATCCTAGAATTTTTTGATTTTATAATATAGTTTTTGTGAACAATCAACTTTGTTTATCGCAATATGAGTGGAATAAAAAATGCAATAAAAATTATTATCGTAATCAGTCTATTTACTTTATCTTCGAGTTTTAAGCGATCCGATGTATATATAGCCGGATTTTTTCCTTATGGAGAAGGAATTGAAAATTCAGCTACAGGTATATTGTTTGTGTTATTTTTGCTTTGAAAATTAACTTTCACAAATTATATTAAATAAATTTAGGACGTGGCGTTATGCCAAGTGTTAAACTGGCTTTGGATCACGTAAATGAACATGAAGAAATTTTGAGAAATTATCGTCTTCATATGTGGTGGAATGATACTGAAGTAAGTGAAAATATTTTATACAAACTAAAGTGAAACAAGAAATTTCAGAAATTTAATTTTCTACCAAAATCTAAAATTATGAACCAAAATTTATCAATATTTTTTTTTTAGTGTAATGCAGCGGTTGGTGTTAAATCATTTTTTGATATGATGCACTCTGGTCCACATAAATTAATGTTATTTGGTGCAGCATGCACTCATGTAACCGATCCAATAGCAAAAGCAAGTAAACATTGGCATTTAACACAATTATCATATGCCGACACGCATCCAATGTTTACAAAAGATGCCTTTCCAAATTTTTTTCGAGTTGTACCATCCGAAAATGCTTTTAACGCACCAAGATTAGCTCTCTTGAGAGAATTTAATTGGACCCGAGTTGGAACTATATATCAGAATGAACCAAGATATTCATTACCACATAATCACATGGTAGCAGACTTAGATGCTATGGGCTTAGAAGTATTGGAAACACAAAGTTTCGTGAATGATGTTAATGAACCATTAAAAAAATTACGAGAAAAAGATGTTCGAATAATTTTGGGTAATTTCAATGAATATTGGGCGAGGAAAATTTTTTGTGAAGCTTACAGGTTTGAAGAAATTTTATATTATTGTATATTTTAATTTTATTATAATTTATATTTCGTTAAATACATACAGATTGGATATATATGGAAGATCTTATCAATGGATAATAATGGGAACTTATTCTGTTGAATGGTGGAATTATACCGATACAAATTGCAAAGTAGAACAAATTACAACTGCATTAGAAGCAACAATAATGACTGATCTATTGCCACTTTCAACTGGTGGTGAAATAACTATTGCAGGAATTGTAATATTAAATTATAAATAATTCATGTAATCAACTATACGTATACATTAAAAAACTGTTATTTTTTAATTTAGACGGCTGATGAGTATTTAACAGAATATGATAGTCGCCGCGGAATTGAATATTCAAGATTTCATGGTTATACATATGATGGAATTTGGGCGGCAGCTTTAGCAATCGAATATGTATCACGAAGAAGAGAGCAATTTCTAACACAATTTGAATATCGAGTTAAAGATTGGGAAAATATATTCTTAGAAGCATTAAGAAATACCAGTTTTGAAGGCGTAACGGTATAAATCTTATTAAAATATTTAGAACATCTAAAACTCATAGGGATCAAAAATATATATGAAATTAGGGAAATGTATACTAAAGATGCATAAGTTTGTGTATAAACGTATTTACATAGAGAGAAAATTTGGACTGAACCGGATAGTTTGTAGACGAATTGATTTTTTTAAATTAAAATTTCTATAAGTTCCACTTCTCTCTCAAATTATATTTATGTAGCTCTTCAAAACAGCAAATATTTTGGCACCTTACTCAATGTGCCAAACCGCGAGTCATTGTTTAAATTCAACAAACGCCGAAAAATGGGATAAATGTACCGTAAAAAATCATAGTCAAATGCAAAGAGGTTGAATTGAACTTGTAAATTAACCTTTTTCTATTAAAATTTTTTTTTTATTTTGAGTCAATTTCTCACCTACACGACAATTTAGATTCATTTCAAATTTTGGCAAATTATAAACACATATTTTATTATAACAAAATAAATTTTCGCTCTAGATTCTTTCCAGAAATGTAAAAATGAGTTTTAGGTGTATTTTATGTTTTATATATAGCCTATTCATTTACTCTAACGTTATAATATTCAATTTAAAGGGGCCAGTAAGATTTTACAATAACGAACGTAAAGCAAATATTCTAATAAAACAATTTCAATTTGTCCAAGAGGAGAAAATTGGTGAATATAATTCTTTGACAGAAAGATTAGACCTATCTTTGGGAAAACCTATCAAATGGGTAAATATGTCCATAATTTTATTGTAATAAAATTATAAATTAATATTAAATAAAAAATTTAGGTTGGAACTAAACCCCCAAAAGATCGTCAACTGATTTATATTGAACATGGACAAATTAATATTACAATTTATGTGGTATCTGCAAGTTGTTCGGTTGTTGGTATAATAATAGCATTAATATTTTTAGCTTTTAATATCAAATATCGAAATCAAAGGTAAAAATTATAATAATTATCCTTTATTATTTTTATTATTACTATTAATTTTTTTCAGATATATAAAGATGTCCAGTCCACATCTTAACAATTTAATAATTGTTGGATGTATGCTAACTTACCTTAGCATAATATTTTTGGGTTTAGATACCACATTAAGTAGCGTCGCTGCATTTCCATATATTTGTACAACTCGTGTATGGTTATTGATGGCTGGCTTCAGTTTAGCTTTTGGTGCGATGTTCTCTAAAACGTGGAGAGTACATTCAATTTTCACAGATCTAAAATTAAATAAAAAAGTTATTAAAGACTATCAGTTATTTATGGTTGTGGGTATATTATTGGCAATTGACATAATTATTATAACGACATGGCAAATCGCAGATCCATTTTATAGAGATACAAAAAGAATGGAAGCTAAAGTAATGAATTTTCAATTTTCCATAATTTCTCCACATTAAATATAAATTATTTTTGTAGGTCCACGAAAATCTTGAGGACGTTCTAATTATTCCAGAAAATGAATATTGTCAATCAAATCATATAACAATCTTTGTTGGAATTATTTATGCATACAAGGGAATTTTATTGGTAAATTTTATTCTCAATTGGTGACAATTAGACGGAATTTGATTTTTTTCAAAAATAATTTTTTGCGAAACTTTTTAATGTAATTACTGCAATTTTAATTAAAACTCTTTTATAGATTTTTGGAGCCTTTTTAGCTTGGGAAACCCGACATGTTTCAATTCCTGCTCTTAATGACTCTAAACATATTGGATTTTCAGTGTATAATGTGTTCATAACCTGTTTGGCTGGAGCTGCTATATCGTTAGTTTTAGCTGATAGAAAGGATCTGGTTTTTGTTTTATTATCTTTTTTCATTATATTTTGTACAACGGCAACATTATGTTTGGTGTTCGTACCGAAAGTAAGACTAGTAGTAAGGAAGAATTTTAGTAGTTTTATTGTTTGTGTCGTGAATATGAACTTCTATCAGATCTTCAAGAGTTCACTTCAATATTAGTCGTTTTTTTATGATTTGTAGTATTACTTTATCAATAACTTCTTTACGTAATTAATCTTTTTTAATATGTATGTACTTATTTATTTTTCTTAAGTGGTGTTGAAATAAGTTTAAAAATTGTTTACACTAACTTAAGTATGAACATATTTTGTCGTTAAATTTTTTTTCTATTTAGCTTGTTGAGTTAAAGAGGAATCCACAAGGAGCTGTTGATAAGCGGATAAGAGCAACTTTAAGACCAATGTCTAAAAATCGTCGTGACTCTTCTGTCTGTGAATTAGAACAACGTTTAAGAGATGTTAAATCGACCAATTGCCGTTTTAGAAAAGCTTTAATGGAAAAGGAGGCGGAATTGCAAGCTTTAATAAGAAAATTAGGACCGGAAGCTAGAAAATGGTTAGATGGAAATTGCGCTGGTAACGGTAATAGTTATGACACAGAACCTATTTTAAATGACACAAATCGTTTGTCGGCACCAGTTATTAAAAGAGATATGCCAAGTGCCACAGGTGAAATTTTAATTTAAAATTATAATTAAGAAATTACAATTTGGATTTTGCTCAGAAGTTACCGAATTGACATCCGTCGATAGTGTAATGTCAACTCATGCTGAAATGGATACAACAACAACAACGTCATCACAGTAAGTTCAATCGTTTTTCATTGTGACATAATTTTTTAAGCTTATAATTCATTTATAAGTTTTATACAAATATTTTTAGAAAATTTGTAACAATACTTGTGATCGTGTGCCTATGAAATACCCCAATTCAATTAATTTAAAAAAAAAAGCTTTAAATTTTAAAATGTTTTTATAATTTTAAATTATGAACATCATATTTTGAATTTGTAGAAAAAAACGGGTTCAAACTGTTACTCCTACACATGATAAAGCACCAACAGTAATAGCTCCCCAACCGCCACAAAATCAGCAGCAACCACCATTACCACCAAAATCGCAAGAAGTACTACATCAACAAATGCACCAATTGCCATCTGAAACGATTTCTATGAGTATACCACCACCAAGTTCACAACACATTCCGAAATCCGAAGATCATGTTCTTCATCATCGAATTATAGAAAAGCGGAGCTCTGTCTCAGCTCAAACAGATCCTCCAAACATAATTAGCCAGCAACAAATGAAAAAACATGAATGTAATAATATTAAACATGAAGAATTAATACAAAGGGAAAGGAAACAATCAATGGATTATCGTGAAAAGGTATAACCAAAAAGATATAATTCATTATATATATATATTTATATAAAGTACGGTTATTTAATTGTAGAAGAAATCTTCAGAAATATCAAGTCAATCTTCAACACCAAAATCAAAGCATAATACATCACATAGAAATTCAAATGCATCAATGCATAATGGATCAAATTCTGAGCTAAGCTGTCCTCATATAAAAAATAACAATAGCAACATTAATAATAATAACAACAATAACAATAATAATAACAACAATAACAACATAAATAACAACACAAAAGGTAGATATAATATACTTAACTAACAGTTACATAAAATTTAATTATTCACTAGAATTAATTATTTATTTGAAGAGACTACTCACATATTTTATTTTGAAAAAATATGATACCAATTTTCATATTAAATTTCAATACAATCGCATTACTTGCAGTAAGAATAAAAACTGAATGTGTGAACGGTCTCAATTAAAATATTCCTGCAATTAAAAAATTCCTTAATGCACTAGAAATTTAAACAATTCTAATACTTTCATACCGAAATTCGCGTTAAATTTTATATCAACGTTTCCTATAATTTTAAATCAGAACTTAAGCTTTTGGCTTTTATTATACCCGTACGAACGTATGTTCGAAGGGTATACTAAATTTGCCTTACCGTTTGTAACGCTAAGAAATAACGGTGTTAGATATGGACTCAAGTGTATGTTTTTGATCAGCGTCAAATTCTGAGTTGATTTAGCTTTGTCTGTCCGTCCGTCCGTCCGTCCGTCCGTCCGTCCGTCCGTCAGTCCGTCCGTCCGTCCGAACGATAACTCAAAAACTAATTGAGCTAAGTTCACCAAATTTTCACAAATGATTTATTGTAGTAAGTGCCAGAACCCTATTTAAATTGGACATGATCGGGTTACCGGTTCGGGTAGCTGCCATACAACTTCAAAATTTATTTGGCTATATCTCAGAAACTATAAAAGTTATGGTACTGAAATTTCACACAAATGAATATATTAATAGGGCCAATATGCCACATAAAAGTCGTTGAAATTACTTGGCTCCTTCTGGTACCTGCCATACAACTTCAAAAGTTATTTGACTATATTTCAGAAACTATTAAAGCTATGGTATTGAAATTTCACACAAACGAATATATTAGTAGGGCCAATGTGTCTCATAAAAGTCGTTGAAATTACTTGGCTCCTTCTGGTACCTGCCATACAACTTCAAAAGTTATTTGACTATATCTCAGAAACTATAAAAGCTGTGATATTGAGATTTCACACAAGTGAGTATATTAGTAGGGCCGATGTGCTTCATAAAATTCGCTAAAATTTCTTGGCTCTTTCTGGTAGCTGCCATACAACATCAATAGTAGTTTGGCACAACCAGTATTTTGAATAACACATAGTACTGAAATTTTGCATAAATTAATATGGTAATACGGCAACTTAAAGTCATAGTCTGCCCCATAGTTAGTTATGGCACATTAGTTATTCGCACATATTTTTTTTCTCGTTTTTAATATAATATTGCATATGTTTAGAAGGAATTTCTATTTAAAATTAAAATTTTAAATAGAAATACCATCTAAACTTCAATTTAAATTCAACGATTGAAACAGGTTGCCAGTATTATGTATTTTATTTAAGGTTACCAATTATTATTATATTTCTGATTAACTACACGATTATTGTTATATAGTGTCGGAAAACAGGAGACCAAAAACACACATTTTGCGAAATTTATAGAACGGGGAAGTGAAAAGATATGTGCAAAATGTGAAATTTGGAACCCCTTGTGCAAAAAAAATTATTCCAAAAATTTAAGGAAAATCAGCCTACAATAACAGCTTATTTGATTTTAAACATTAATTCAATATATTGATTTTGCAAGAATGAATAAATATGCACGTAGTCTTCCTTTTGTTTTTCCCAAATCCACAAACTTAAGCTCAGAGGGGAAGAAAATTGATAAATATTTTATTTTAGAAAAATTATTTGGTGCCCTTGTTGCTTGCAAAATAAGCATTGCTCTTGGACGCGTAAATAAACGGTCTTATGTATATGCACATGTACTATTATCGATGTACTCTGTTATATCACGTACATACATATGTACCAATTATTTATCTCATATATTTGACTCAATAATATAACAACGTATACAAATTAAGAAAAAGCTTTAATATAATTTAAAAATCATGGAACAGAAAACAATGACGTGTAAACCTCAATATTTGAGAGATCAGTGGTACAAAATTTTATTTTTTATGATCCTCACTATCCTTTACACAGCTTGTGACGTTCCGTTTTTTTATATAAAGAATTTGCAAAAAATAAACAAAAGAGCAAACTATTGTATAGTCATTAAAATTTTATACTTTTGTTAAAATATCTAAATTTTTTTGCACTTTGTAATTGTGAAAAAAAAACTGATCGAGAAAGTAATAAAAGCAGTGTAATTATTATCGCCAAACAAAGTTTTATATCAAATTGTAAATAACACCATACTATAAAAATTTTTATTCAAGTAGTTTACAAACTCACTTGCCCAAAAAAAAATACACAATTACAACGATACTTTCTAAAATTATTGATCCTGTTAGTTACAGAAAATGAGTTACTTTTTCGTAAGAAAATTAAAGGATACCCGACAATTCTAATAATTCATGATAGATCTGGAATAATTGGTATGTTATAAATTTAATTATTGATTATTTATAATGGTAAAAAGTTATGTTGGTTAAACTTAAATTACACGGCTATATTGGTTAGTTTATTTAAATTTAATACAAGTTTTATCCTCAGACATTAACTTTTGAAATATACATACTTACATATTAATATTGTTCTCATTCATTTTGTTTTGTTACAATCAGATATAAACTGTATTTTAAAATTTTGTTTTAACAACTTACAGTAGAAACCAGGAAAGTTACAACTCAAATAAATCCCAATCAATGTAAAAGTAGTTTTGTGGTTTCTCAAAGTGATTTATGGGATACTCAAACCTTATCACATGCTAAACAACATTCAAGACATTCACCAAGAAATTATCCAAATCAACAACGTTGTTCCGAACATAGTCACATTATACAGTATGAACCGAATGCAACATCACCTATACAACGATCTGTATCCGAGAAAAATCGTCAAAAACATCGACATAAACCACAGAAAGGTACAGTATGTCAAAGTGAAACAGATAGTGAGCGCGAACGTGAACCACCAACCCCTTCACCATGTTCAAATACAAGAAAATTAAACAAAACGAATATTCAACAACACGCCCACCATCATTCATCACCAAATGTTGCTCCAGATAAACGAAAACATAGAAATAAAAATGATTCTACAATATACGCAGCCAGTTCTGAATCAGAATTATTGGATGGTGATACTGCAATTTTACCAATTTTCCGTAAACTTTTAACCGAAAAACAACAACCAAGACAAAAAGGACGCAGCATAGTTGGACAAAGTTGTCCTAATATATCAATTAAATGTGACATAGTTGAATATTTATAAGAGGTTTTAGTAAATTGCCAAAAAAACGGATTCTATACAGAGGCAAAACTTTTAATTTTAAATAAATTACATGCATAGTATATAAATTTCAAAAAGATTAAAATGTTAAATAAGTAGTTTGCTTTGTCAATTAAAAATATGGAAACGAAATTAAAAAAAAATAAGCAATGCTAATTTTATTGTTATAAGTAAATTATGTATGTACATAATATTGTAACTATGCTTATAATATCTATTACAAGCTAACAGTTAAAAGGAATATTTTGATGTTCTGATTACAAAGCACGGTAAGAGAATTTAGTTTTTATTATTTGGAAAAAATTTACTAATAATTTTCATAGCTACGTTATTGTTTCTTCTTATGATTTAAACATTTATAAAGCATATTTTGCAATTCATTATTTTGAATGTATGTATTTTTCCTTTAATGAATTGAAAAAAAGAAAATAAATAAGTAAAATTTACGTTGACTTATTAAATAAAGTTTAATAATAACAAAATTTATGTAATACTTTTTATTAATTTTGATTATACATACGAGTACATACGAGTACATATGTACATTATTGGAAATTTAGCGGAATAAGCAAGAAGTGTTATTGAGGTTTTTAAATACCTGAAAAATGTGTTTGGTAAGCAAGTGGTGCCTCGTATAGTTATTATTAAACAAAAATCTTTTTTCAAAATACAAACCACTAAAATTTTTAGATAACTTACACTGACAATCTCGTCATGTACATTCAATGATCAGTTAACATCAAGAACAGAGACTTCTTCTATTTTATATTGATTGTAAATCGTCTTCTTAAACTATTCAGCTGGTCTTATAAAATCTTAGGGGCTTTTAGGCGGAATTCTTTGAAATAAAAGTATAATGAATCGAGCCTTTCCGCTGAAGTCGCTTTGTCATCATGTACGAAAGCGATTACAAAGATTAGAGATAGAGAAAGATGATAACAAGCGTTGTTAAAAGATTTTGGCATTTCAGTGAAGTTAGCGGAGTTTGCATCAATTACATTCAATGATTTGTGGGTTAACCTGTCTCTTGTTGTCGTCTAATTTTGCTATAACTTCGAGCAATACGTGAAAAAGCTTTTTAGGTTGTAATTTCACATCTTGACAGTCTTGACATATAAAAAACTGTCTCCAAGGAAGAATGGTACAAATCCTTGTCAGCCCCGATACACACTTCATGAACTTACCTATACAAAAAGCTACACATGTCAAAATTGTTGATAAGTTACCATTTATGGTAAAAGATGAAAGACTGCATCATAATAGTACAATACGTACGTATTGTACTATTATGATGCAGTCTTTATTATGATGTTTATTGTACTGTAGCTCATAATAATACGTATTATTAGGTAAGTCACAAGGTAAGAATATTTATTAATAGTTTGCACTTTTATTCAATGTCACAAAAAAGTTAAAACGGAGTCTAAGATATACATATACGAGTCTCAAATTATAGTTGACTACCTTCTTATATTATTTTATGAAATCATATTATTTCTTTTCTTTGTTTTATACTTGGACACATGAATAATAAACACCATTTTTTGCAATATGGTTTTTTTTTAATTTAAAATTGATTGCAATCGCTCAATCGGTGACAATTTAAAATTCCCGTTCGGAAATCCATTCGTGATAAAATAGTAAAACCAATGTATTATATATTTAGTTCGAACATATTTCGGTATTTGAACTTTATTATTTCTTCTTTCTATAATAATACATATCATCTTATAAAACCACTATAAATAACATAAAAAAATCAAATATATAATTTTAAAATATTCAAATATGTAAACACTCTACTTTGTTTATTCACTTTTTAATTGGAACTTAACAACTAAATTCCTTATGCATAATCGTAAAAACTTTGTTTTTAATATACATAATCTTTTACAAACATATATATATATATATATAATATGTGTATATATATATACATATATATATATATATATTGTATTCATAAATCAATTTACTTAATTACATATTACTGTTTTTACTTAAGTTCTAAAATTCTATGCATGAATATTTTTGTATATCTTATAATATATGTATATGTAAATGTATATAATATGTATACACATAAAAATACATTGTAGACGTAAATATTTTTTAATTACATTATCACAGCTTAACTTGCTACTAATATAAATTTTATATTCAAATTACATAATTCTTATGTATGCTTTATAATTTGAAACATTTATCATATTTTTTAAATACTCATTAGATTCAAAATATTCTTAAATTAAATTTTAAAAAAGTAAAATAGTTAATTAAATAGAAATTCAGTTCTTATAATCAAGAATGAGTTTTCGATTGAAATTTCGAAACAAATGAACCGTCTTCGTTTCAAAAGACCTATATAACTACAAAAGTATAGGCAGATGAATTTCTACACTAAGCTTAAATAACGCTTTATTAATTACATTATAATTATGTTAGCATTATTAAACAAGGTGTAAAAAATTAAATAATTTGTTAATGTTAGCAAAAAACTTAAATTATTTTTGAACATTTTTTATATCACGTGTAAAACTTTTACTACTTTACAAAAAATTGAATTGAAATGCTATATTGTAAGAAAATTTTAATAGAAAAAGTATATTAATTTATGTTATAATTAACGATTTTAAGTATTTTGAAGTGATGTTATTAATATAATTAATGATCAGAAGATTATTAAGAGATCCTATTTAATAACTCCTTATTGAGCTGAACACATCCAAGGAAATAAAATGAGATTTCAGTTTTAACTACAGTAATATGTCTATATTTTGAAACAAATATTGTAACGACTAAAATTTTATTTTTTTTTTGTATGTTATACGATCAATATATTCTTTCATTTATCATTATTCATCTTTCAAAACTGCACATTCATATAGAGATAATAAATGTATGAATGTTTGTCGAACATTATTTTCAACTACACTGATAAACTTAATATTTAAATACAATACATCGATTTTTTAAAATTAAAAATTTCTGCTTGCTATTTATAAAAACTAACATCTACAATTTGTGTATTCTGATTTAATATAATTGAATAATGAAATTTTAACTTAAAATTAAATATATTTCAATAATTATTCTTCCAGTTTTGTTTTAAAAAATTTTGTGTGCGTCAAAATATCTTACAAAAAAAAAAAAGTGTATCAATAAAAAGATGTAATTTTATTTTTATTTGTACTTATCAGAACTCCTTTCCTAAAATTTACATAATTGAGTTAATTCATTTCCAGCAACATAATAAGTTTTAAAATGAATTAAATTTATCAGTCATGTTTTAAGTAAAGGAATATTTAATAAAATTTAAAATGAGACGTTTTTATAACAGATATATTCATGAGAAAAAATGAAACACTACTTTTTCTTTAAAAAATGGCAGCAGTAAATTTGTCAACACAGAATTCTTCTGGTAGTTGCATTTTTTCATAAAAAATTTTTAATATAAATATATGTTATTTAGCATTCAAATATGCTTTGAAATATTTACATTATCAGCTCTCTCACACTCTAGTTTTTTATTAAACCTTAGCATTTGCATCTTCTGATAAAACAACTGTTACAGCACTACCGGTCGATGGACTAGGTATTTCTTTGAATTTCTTATTGTAGATATGTTCAAAGTCTATAGACGATCTATGCAAATCGCTTATTGTTTTAACTAAAGAGTTTGAAGTTAAGGAATCCAGTTCGTGTGACTCGGATTGGACAAGCTCTCCAACGGCTGAACTCGAAGGAGTAAGCAATTGCTCTGTGACATTAACATGACTTTCTTTCCTGTATTTAAAGAAATATTACTTTCAAATACATAATATAAAACACGAATTTAAACTATTTTTATTGAGAAAAACTTACCTTTCATTAGCAGTTTTCACAGTATTATGGGTTTTTGAATTATTTTTCCATTTTGGGTATGAAAACTGCATAAATCCGTATTGCGGACCAAACAATTTTAATAAACTCATCAGAAAAAAAGTAGAGTACAACCAACTTACGCTCATTACAACAACCAAAAATACTCCGATTTGAATGTAAGGTAGCACATTTGAAGCCAGCATTATAGCACCAGCGATGCCAGTTGTAAGCGCAGCCATAGAAGTAGGGCCAATAATTCGAGACAAAGAAAATATAGTGGAGGAAAGCCTATCGCCATTCGGTGACAGTCTGTAATGTATACCATAATGAAGACTAAAATCAACAGCTAAGCCAATAGCTGTACTGACGGATACACTTTCCAATATATTAAGCCTCCAGCCAAATAATATCAATATCGCTACAGTCACAAATATTGTAAAAGTTACGGTTACAACTGCATAAATGCTTATTAATACATTCAAAGTAACAGTTAATAGTACCAAAAGTGATGCACACATTGCAATAGCAATTGACAAGATTGTTCCTTTGGACAACGTATCTTGTAAATCGAAAAAGTCCAGTTCACTTATAAACCAACCCCCTTGCATACTAGCAGGCGCATTTACGATTTCTCTGTTAAACCAACTCTGAGTTAATTCGAAAAAATGTTTGACCTCCGAGTACGACATAGTGTATGTGAAATTACTGTCAAATTCTATGACCACTGCTTTAACTTGTGGAAATACATTTGTGTTGTTCATTTCATATAAATCATAATTTTTATAAACTGTAACATTGCCTTCTTTTGTTGCTAATTTATTTTGATTAACATGAGTAGACGGCGAAAACTTCGGACCGGCTACCCCAGGTAAAAATATATGCCTTGGGCTTGAATACAATGAGGAAATGCTTAATGGTAAACAGTATTCAAATATATCAGGACGAAAAGGAAATTTCGAAATTTCGCAGCACGGCGTGCGATCTGCATTATCCATTCGATCTAGACATCTAAGCAAAAATAAAATTAATTTAAAAAATGCTCTTTTTAAATGCGAAGCTTTTACTTTCTGTCCATCCAAGTAATAAAGTTTTCTATAAAGCAGTTTGGAAGAAGAACACCAAACGTAGGTATTCCATAAAAAGATTCCTGTTTGAGTTTTCTACAAAAATTCAACAACCAGACTTGTGATTCAACATCAGATACATTAAAATTATTGTCAAAATACAATTCTCCTCGAGAATATGGATTCAAAAAATCACCGTCATCCACTGGCTTTATGCCCCAAACAAATCTTAACGGCAGTTTGGGATTATCTATTGCCTAAAATGAAATAACGGATGAATACAAATTATGAAAAGAACTGGCTTTAAATTACAGTAGCTAATTTTTCAAACCAGAACAAATCCTTAAACTGAGCATCATAGGCCTCAAAGGGATGATCACTAATAAAAAGCTGAAAATCCGCGGTATTTGGCAGTTGCAAACTTGGCCAATAAAGTACTATCACAAAGCTAAACACCCCAATAAACCCTAAAATTGTATTTAATATTTAACAAAACTTATTAAAAGTCCTTTAAACTTATACCAAACAAAACAATCCAGAGATATGGCATTTTGAGCACTGCGTTTAATACGTAATCTTCCACAATTGATCCAAATGTTTTAATTGACTTTCGAAATTTACTAATAATATTAGGCGATAAAAAATTCCCTAAGTGACAGGATACTCTTTCCATTATAGATACAGATGCCGGTAGCCAAGTAACCATTAACAAATAATTTGAAACAATAGCTGTGCCGGCAAAAATACTGAAATTAATAATATTTTACTTAGAATTAATAATATTTTACTTCCATTATTTTTTTTACCCGAAGCATTTTACAGAAGTTATTGAACTAACAACAGAAGTGTAAAAAGCACCTGCTGTTGTTAAAGATGTTACAAACATTGATATTGCTGCGTGTCTAAAAGTCGTCTCCATTAAAAAATTTAACGTTTCTGAATAATCTGGCTCATTAAAGGATGAAGTTGAAGCCCCAACAGGTGATGTTGCGGAGTCTCCTTTTTGAATTTTTTCAGCAAGTGTGCTTTGCCATATTTTTACAAAAATAAAAGCATCATCAGCACCTATACCTGCCAAATTTTCAAAAATTAATATTTTGCGATTTTTTATTCAACAAGATATACCAATAATTACAATGACAGCCAAAATGTTCATAAACGGAAAAAATGTTATTTCAAATATTAATGTGTAAATGAAATAAGCTAGCCCCAATGAAAACAGAACAGCAATAAGAGTCATTATGGTAACTATTAACGACGAAGTGAAAATCCACATACACATAGTTACAAAAATTAATCCAAGAGCAACAAGCCAACCATCAGCTATTAACATTTCATCAAACAAAGCATTCTTTAGGCCTAAATCCATTGCAGCCACCATGGTCAAATCATTTTTAAGATCACTAAAAATCAAATATATTTAAATTCACATTACATTCATTTCTATTAGAATTATAGAAAAGGAAGGAAAATTTTGAGAAATTATTAAGGATTAATTAAATTTGTTGAGATTAATTAAGTAGAAACGTAAACAATTGATTGCCATAAAAACTTACGCTTCCTCTATCTTATGAAAAAGAGACAAAATTGTAGTGCTGCGCGCTACAGGTACAAAAATCATTGCATATTTTAAAAATTCCTTTGATTCCTGTAAAAAATAAAGTTATTGAATACTCATCCATTTTAATAATTGATATAAATTGATACATTGGTTTTCATAAAATTAACGTCCGTTAGATAATGGAAAATGTTAAACACTGCGTTGTATTTTACACAGTCAACTGGGACGTGACAATTAAGGTTCTCATTGCAATCACTGCTAAGTTTAAAATTATTGAAATATTCAAAACATATAGAAAGTAAATTTAAAACATTTAATACATCTTCATTCTGTAAAATAAAAATGTTGTCTTCAATATTAATTTTATATCATTTTTACATTTCCTTACTGTGATATCAAAACAAGAGCTTTTATTTGATAGAAGTGCAACATAATTGGATATAGACCAAGGACGACAACATTGATCAGAAAAATTATCCTTTTCACAAAAATCTTCATATCCTTCCACAGATTGAATTTGTTCCTCTAGTTGGCACATTGCCAAGAGAGAATTAATTTCAAAAATGGAGTCTGTTGAATTAGGCCCGATTCTTTTTACAACAAAATGCGCATAGCCTATTGCTGAAAGTTATATTAAATGTTTTTGTTTTGTACAATATAAAATGAATTATAGTAATAAAAAATATTTACTTGGTGAACCACAAAAGAATCCGTCTGTCAAAGTTGGCATGTCTGTATACAAAGCTGGAGGTTGCTGATGCTTGAACAGATTCCATTTACTAATTTTAGATTGAACCATATTTTGCTTTTCATCTTCATCTATAGAAGATCTATTATAGCCAAATTCATAGCTTTTATTTTTAAGTCTCGTATCAAAGTTATCATCGATTGTTTCATAATCCTTAAAATGAATTTCTTGAAACCCCGAATCATAGCTGTATTTGAACTCATTTTTAAACCTATTCAGTTTTTTGATTTTTTCTCTTAACTGTTTTTTACGTTCTTTTTTACTTTTCCTTTTCCCGCCTTTATTTTTAAATTCTCTCAGTTTATGGACTTTTCCATTTAAAATTTTTATTCTTCCTAAATCACTAGGATCATCAGCTAACTTTCCACCTACTCTTGTTTCTTCTAATAAATTATGCCAAGCTGTAAGTCTTTGACTAATTGATGTCCCTCTGGCTTCAAAACCCTACAAAAATATAAAAATATTACACAAAAATATATGTTTTTTGTTTTTTATTTGTTTACAAGTGTAGGGTTGGAAAAATCTGGAAGATCCTTCGTTGTTAATGAAACTATTATACAAGCCAACGATAAAATTGCTATGGCTAACACTACCAAATATGGCCTCCGGACCAGAAATTTGTAGTACCAGGCCATTACAATTTTGCAATTGCAACATTTGGTAAATTTTTATGTAAAAAAGAATGCTCTTTTACTTTTCTGAAAGTATCATTTCTAAAAGAATTTCTGTAAAGAAATCAAACTTTCAAGATGTTTTCAGATGTTTTACAAATTTTCTTACTTCGGTGATAAATTTAACTTCCTACTTACAGTATCAAACGCATATCAGAAACTATTAACTAAAAACCCAAAATAGTCAAGCAACTTTTATCACACATTTATTTTTTAATGGTTTGTAGAGTTTATTTGGTTGATATGAAATTGCAATACTTTTTTAAGAATAAAACTTAGCATGCAAAATTAATTTTATAAAATGATTACGTTTCATAGTACAACAACTGTATTATGTGAACAAGTTTGATTTTATTTATATTAAAGAAATACGCAAGCGCCGATGCGTCGGCCCTGTTGATTTACTCAAAAAACACAATAACTGTCAACGTTTTTTTTATCAACAGCTGATTTTTCCAAACATATTTAACTATGTGACATTTACCATATTCAAGTCGTATTAATTTTAGTATAATACATTTGACAGTAAAATGAATCAATTATTTTTGATTTTTTAATAAAAAATTAGCCTGGAAAATTATTATTTTTTATAATTTAACTGAATTATATTTTAATTTTCCTCTCGTGAAAGGGCATAATATGGTAACGAATTATTAGTTAACAGGGGAAAAATTTCGTGCATATTAATGTTTTTATATGTTCATATATTAAGTCTTCTAATTTCTTTCTGCCCTGTCATACTTTTATTAATTTAAGAATTTGGCATTTTATAAATTAAATTCCAAATTTTTAAAGTTTTACGACTGTGTATTTCTATAGAGAGTTCTATGTGGAGCAGCGTTCCATTGAATTTGATAAAATTTTGCAATATGGCATTGAACATAATAAATTTAAAATTTAATTAAATAAATAAAATATGTTCTATATAATTGTATTAATAAAAAATAAGGTCATAGAAAATAATCCTCGAAATAAATATTGTTTTCGAATGAAAATATTGGTAAACATGCTTTCCAGTATCACATGTGAACTTGGTTCATAATGAAACTATAAGTAATAATGTCAAAATTTCGGTTAGATTGAAATTGAAACATACATGGGAAAAATACAATTGTCATAACAAAATTTTTAAAGATTTGTGAGTTTTGCTGTTTTATAAATTCCAAACCTGGGAGGAAATATTTTTTAAATATTTAACGAATTATAGCGTTATACCAATTTTTCTAAATATAATTCACTATTAATCTGTTGCTTTGCAATATAATTAAGCATGGAAGGGATTTTGGATACAGACTTTGAAAGCAATGGTAAAAATTCAATAAATAGAAGTTTGTCTAACTCTACCAATGAAGATCAAGATCAAGATGGGGATCCGGATGATTCAATAGATTTGTTTGAAGAATCTCGTCAGTCAGACAGAGCTACAAAACGTCTTCATAGTACTGATTCGGAACATGATATAATTGTGAAAAGAGAACGTTTGGACAGTGTGGATGAAAAAATTGATATAAATTTAAACAATATAGAGGCAAATCTACAACGTGACAAAGAAAAAGAGCAAAGAAAAAAGGAATTAAAATCAAAAAAGGAACTAGAAGAAGAAGAAAGAGAGAAGATGCAGTAGGTTTATATGCAGTATTAATGTATTAATCTTTTCTCATTAATTATTAAATGATTTAAGAGTATTAGTTTCAAATTTTACTGAAGAACAATTAGATCGATATGAAATGTATAGACGTTCGGCTTTTCCTAAAGCAGCTGTAAAAAGACTAATGCAGACCATCACAGGTTGTTCGGTATCACAGAATGTAGTTATAGCCATGTCAGGCATTGCAAAAGTTTTTGCCGGAGAAATAGTTGAAGAAGGTAATGCTTTTATATTTTTTAACAAATGCTTTTACATTCGCGTGCCCTATCATTTTACTTTTCTTAAAACGCATGATGTACCTGCCTATTAATTAGACTTATAAATTTTTCTATCCAAATAAGCGTAAAAATCGGCAAAACTAACTTGAAATAACTATAAAAATTATTTTTTAATAAATTTTTAAAAGAAAATATCAATATTTGTTAATTAAAATTCAATTTTTCTTTTAAAAATTTAATAAGCTAAACAAAAATATCCAACTAAAAATATTATATGCACATACATATGTTAAAATAAATATACTGGTAGTATCGTCTATATATTAGATACATATTTTTGTAGCTCTGGATGTCATGGAATTAATGGGGGATAATGGAGCACTACAACCAAAACATCTAAGAGAAGCAGTTAGAAGACTTAGGTTAAGAGGACAAGTACCAATTGGCAAAAATAATAAACAATTTTTCAAACTAAATTAATTTATATTTTAAAAAAATTAAAAATTTATTAAAAGAAACACATACTTGTAAAAATTTAAAAATTGTATTTTAGATTTTGTACTTATTATTATTAGAGTTTACTGCCCTAAGTGGATATTAATCTTTTTTATCGCATTGTATAAATTTTATAAATAAGTATACACATATAACTAATGCCATGTATATCTATCAGGTCACCAAGCTTGCAATTTTTAGCGCAGACATATTTTCATATCTTCCAAATGGAAAAGTAGGGTACGAAATTGAAGGTAAAACCAGATAACTAAATAAAGTGAGAGTCACAAAGAATGCTCAAAAATTTCATAAAAAAAATATTTCAATCTGAATACTTCGAAAACAAAGCATTAAGAATTGTTTTTGTAATTTTTTTCCGATTGTATTATTTCGAAAAATAATTTCAGCTGGCCTGATAGATACATACATATACTTTTATATTAATGTATATAACTAATGTGTACATACATATGTATACATTAGTAATATACATAACTAATGTGGTTTTTTGAGTAAAGTTCTTTGAACTGCTTATTTATATATTCCTTTCTTTAGATATTAAAAAATTTTGTCTACATTTTTTTTTTAATTTCAGGATAAGTAATCTAAACTGTTACAACTTCAAAAATCTTGCAAATTAACATAAGTGGTTAATATTACGAAAACGGTTAACATTACGGTTTAACAGAAAAGTTTTTTTTTCGTCATTTTTTAAAAATCTCAATTTTTAAGAAAAGTATTTCTTATAATAATGATAGTATTGAGAACAATGCATTTTTTTACATAATACATATTTATACTCGTATGGTGGTCCCGAAATTCTTACAGAAAATTTCTTTGAACACTTTTGTGTTCACGCTTTGGATTTTATATTTCTTTTGGGTGTGAGCAAAGAAAACACTTTTTGCATATTTTTAAATACATACATATGTACACATATCAAATAATATACTTATATTCTGAATCCACTATTGTATACATACATGTATGAATATATGTTTGTAGAGTTATGTATTCAAAAAATTTTAATTCCAAAGCAATGTGTTTTATTTCAAATTTTTATTTATTTTTCACATCAATGTGTATATAAATTTATGTATATTTTTCATCCTTTTTTTTTACGTAATAGGTACATACATACTTACATATGTATTTGGTAATATTTTAATAATGAGCGAGGAAGAAGTAAGCAAATAACAAATTATTTAAATCAATTTAAAATTATTTAAAACATCAATTAAACAGCACAAATTAAAATTAAACGAAGTTTGGCGTGTAATTCATAAAATCCAAAATGGAATTTCCCGATTTGATCTCAATATTTGGAAAATGTTTAAAGAATCCGATTTGAAAAACACTGGCCAGATACCTGGTAATGTCAGTTTGAACATCTTTTCTAACAAAGTCCTATATCTCACCCTAGTTTCTATAAGTATATTTGCACATTTGTCGATGCTTATCCAGCAGTCTCTCCATTTCTAGCTCCTAAAAATGAGAACAAATACAAAGCTAATACCTTCATATGTACACATTATATATGTATGTATATACATGCTTTTGTACGTTTGTAGGTATTATAATATGTACATTATTTAATTGTGATATTTAATAAATTGTTTAGTGTTCCTATTACTTATGTGTGGATATATGTACATATGTATATACAAATACATATAAAACTTTTAAATTTTGCTAAATGTGCTAATTCCAATAATTGCTTTTAAGAAACTAAATTCAGAAACATTTTGGAAATGTTAAAAACGAAATTAGAAATTTCGGATAATGAAATTAGAAAAGTGGCAGATTATTTCAAAAATAGAAATGGACAAATTTTATATGAGCAGTTTTATGGAGTTCTCAATGAAGATGGTAGACGGCTTTTACTTACTGTCGACATTTTTTAATTTTATTTTATTTTATTTTACATTTTAGTACAAAATCTTTCTCCAAACAAAATTAATATCAACAGCCTTGAATTGGGAGATTCATATCATATAAATGAATTGTCATCAAATGAAAAAAGTCACCTGCTAAAAATTCTGGTTAAAATTGCTAAAACTGTAAAATTTAGAAACATTGCATTAATGCCTTCTTTTCAAGACTATGAGCTCGTAAGTAAATTTGCAAAAACTGTAGAAACGGTGAAATTGCCGTCAATTTCTCTTTATTCAGTAAATGAATGTGAGCTTGATCACATCACGTTGGTCACTTAACACTTAAATTTTAATATATTTCAATGAAAGTACCCTAAAATATACTATGTATGTATGTATGTATGTTTGTATTTAGGTCACAAGAAACCTTGGCAACGTTACAGTACCTCATTTTTCACGTATAATGCATTTTATGAAAATTTTTTTGTCAGAGGAAGATCTATTGTTATTATTAAAAGGGTTCATGAAAGATTCTTATTCTGTTAATTATATTGCATTTAATAAAGCTATAGAAGAAATTATAAAATACTTTGATTCAAATGAAAGAATTGATATCTCGCAGGTATTGTAAACATTACATATTCATACATACATATGTAAATAATGTAAAACAAATTAATACTCTTAAAGAATTTAATTGACAATATTTCTGGTAAAATAATTGAAATGAAATTTCCGTATTTACCTCACGCTATAATAAATGAAGCAAATATAAACGATTTTCTTAAAGAGCCTCGTCCATTACATCCTGTTTTTAGTAAAAAAAATGAATTAAGAGAACTAAATGAAATTCTTCTGCAAATACAGAAACATTTAAATACAAATCAAATAAGGCTCAGTGAATTTTTTCAAGGATATGATATATTAAGAACAGGAAAAGTTACATCCAATCAATTTGTACGAGCTTTGGACAGCTTAGGAATATCAGGTTTACATAGATTATTTTTACAACAAGAAGAAATTGATATGATTGTGCAAGCTTTTACAGACCTTGCTCAAAGTGATATGGTTAATTGGAAATCCTTTGAATATGGAATCAATAATGGTAAACTCTATAGTATTTTAAAACTACAAGTATTATTTGGAAAAACAGATTGGAATTACAATATTGTTATTTCTCGTAGTTTCTAGTAAAAACCACCTATTAGACGTAAAGAAGCCATTTCATATAGTTACCAAAGAAAAACAAGATAATTTAGAGAGCGGTTATCAAGATAAAAATAAGGACCTTTCTGAAGAAGCAAATTATAAAATCAAAAAGAAAATAGAAAACAGAAGAATTGATTTATATACTTTCTTCAAAGATTTTGACAAGTAAGATACCCATAAAATTAGAGACCATGTACATATACATATATATTTCTCATAACATTTTATAAAATAGATTAAATAAAGGTTATGTTAGCCGTTCGCGAGTTAGGCAAATTCTTTATTCAAATGGAATATTATTGTCGGAACAAGAGCTTTTTGCTTTGGAGGAACAATTCAACAATGATGTTGGTTTTAATTATATTTCGCTCTTGAAACATCTAGATCCCATGAAAAATGAATATTCAAAGGTGGTTTTTAGAAAATTAATAACGAAATATTTTTTAATTTAAAAATACAACATTTTAGTTCAAAACAATATTATCTACCGATTTCAAACCTTCTATGCATCTCATATCAAATCTGAAACCAATTGAAGTAAAACCAGCAGATATTATTAATTTAATATCTAAAGTGAAAAGCCAAACTGTAATCAAACAAATAAGAATACTAAATTGTTTTAAGGATTATGATCCGCATAATATGAATTCTATATCTGAGGCTAATTTTCGCAGAGGTTTAAAAATTGGACAGATAAACTTAAATGCTGAAGAACTAGATATTTTGTGCAAGCTGTAAGCAAAAACATTGTGATATTATCAAAAATGCTTACCGTTTCGTTTTATAACAAAAAAAAAAAATTTATTTTTTCAAAGTTTTGCATCGCCTATGCGTTCAAACTTTATTTCATACAGACGGTTTTGCGATACTATTGAAGAAGTCTTTAAACAAAATCAACTTGAAAAGTCACCATTAATTATTCCTTTACAATATTATCCAATCATCGAAAGTATCGCTTGCAATTTAAATCTTAATGAACGAAATATTGTATCATCAGCTTTACAAAAGCTTTCTAAAAATGCAAATATAGTTTCGAATTTAAGTGAAATTTATAAAGGTTTCGATAAAATCAACCATGGTGTAATTACAAAAAGTCAATTTTTAAGAGGTTTGTGTATAAGAGATCTTCAGACCTGTATTAGTAACAGGGAGTTTGATATTATTTTCAAATGTTTTGGAACTGAGAAAGGTAAAGTACAATGCAAACAGTAAAAAGCATAATTATAAGCATAATACATACGTATACAAATATATTTCTAGTAACATATACGTAATATGTATTATATACTATGTATTATTATCTAGTATGTATTATATCCTGTGTATATTATATTCTACACAATTAATTTGTTTACTATAGCTTCTTTTATATTTTGCGTTATCAAATTAATATCGAAATAATAACGACTCCAAATTTAATGTAGTGTAACATTCCTATGTATGTATATGGTTTCACCATGATAACAATAGGAATATATTATACATATTTATGTAAATTATATCTAACGATTTAATTAATAGGAGGAGAATTGGTTGTCGATTACAGAACCTTTTTACGAATTCTTGATATTTTGTATCTCAATCAAATCGAATGAAAATTGTAAAAAAAAATTATAAAGAAAGAACATAATGTAATGTATAATCTACATAAATTTGTTCCTACTCACTTGTTACAAAATTTAGTGTAAAACAATATTTGAAATTTTCATGTTCACAAAATTTAATAATGATAATAAAACTTTTTATTTTTAAAAAAGTATTTCACAATCTTTTACATCCTATAATATACTACAACTGCTCCAGCTTTCTTCATGTTTACTTTAGCTTAAATTAAGAAGAAGCTAACATATGTACACGCTTTAAGCCCATGAAATTAAAGTAAAATCAATCATTTAATTGAAAAGTAATTCAAGATTAGAATTTATGTTCAATACCGTGGTTTTTGTTACATAATTAATTTAAGGACTATGTGTAAATGAAATATGTAATTAAAAATTGTAAAAATAAAACAAATTGCATTTTCTTTCTTAATTATAACCTTTTTTTTTATTATTCATATTTAATAAAAAAATTTGTTTTGTTTTTTTTTTGTTTTTTTTTTCTAAAAAAGGGGAAAAAATCATGAAGAGTTAATGAGACGTTATATTGAAGTATATTGTTTCGACTAATTTAAAAAAAAAAATCACTATTATTATTATTTAAAAAATACTTATTTGTTATTGTTTTTGTTGTTAAAATTAATTGATAGCATATTTTCTCTTAAATTAAGGCAAATTGTCAAAAATGTTTTTATGTAATATAATTATTACAATAAAATATAATGCATGTTTTGTAAAATATAAACATAAAATTTCAATTGATATTTAATTAAATTTTTAATTTTCTTAATTTCTTTGTTCTTATTTTAATATACATATTTTTATTATATATATATATATATATATATATATATATCCTTCTTTATTAAATCTTTTCTGAAAATATAAATTTTCCGTGTTTTTTTTTATTCATTTATTTTATTTTATTAATTTTTTCTTTTTTTTTTTTGTGTTTTGTCAAAGGAAAAAATAAAAAAATTAAGTATCAAATATTAATTAATTCCAAATATTATTATTATAGTTTTTTATTTAAACTTTAATATTAGCATGAATATAATATATGGATTTGTATTAAAATATATTTAAATATATTTTTATGCATAATACAATATACAAATTACATAAATATTTATTTACTATATATGAATATGAATATTGTACGTTTATAGTGTACATTCATAGGATATTTTTTTAATTTAGTTGTAGAAACAAAAAAAAAAAATATGCATGATATATTTTATAAATTCACATAATCACCTAATATTCTGTTAGTCGCATCACTCGAGGTAATGAAGTACTATTGCAAAAGAATCTTGTTTTTCAGTTTAGAATTTCGGAATTTATTTTAATCGTCAAATTAAAAGATTTTGAATGACAAGCCAAGTTGCTACAAGTGATGCGACTCACAGGATATGTAAATATTATATTTTATATATTCCATTATTTTTGTTTTGTTTTTCTTTTAATATATTTTACTTATTGATCAATTAATTATAATTTTTCTTTTTAGTTTCAAAAAAGGGTGTGATTTGATTGTTAAATGAATTACGACACATTTTATTTGTACATATATATGTTTTATATTATTTACTTTAATGGTTATTATTTTTTCTTCTTTTTTTTTGTTTCCATTTTGAAAATTTTACGTTAAAACTAAAATAAATTTCTTTTTGTTTTTTTTTTAAATTCTAAAATAATTAAGTTACAAAATACGAAATGAAATCTTTTTCATAATTTTTTTTTTTGTTTTTTTTTTTATATATTGAATATATAATTTTTAATTAAATTATTAATTTCTGTATTACATTTATAGTATAATTTTTTTCTTTGTATTTAGTTTGAACCTAGAGCTAAAATTCTAATAGTATTTTTATGTTAAACTAGATGATGATGGTACGAATTTGCAAATATTAGAAAATTAAAAAAAAAAAAAAAAAAAACCCTCTTAAACATTTTTTAACATTAAATTTTTTAAATTATTATTTTAGTGTACGTATTTATATATATATATATTATATAAAATATTACAATATAAATTTTATTCCTCTTGGTATTCAAAAGATAAAAAAAAAATTGGTTAGTATTTTTTTTCAGATTTTGTATAAACAAATAATTAAATAAAAAAAAAATAGTGAAACAAATTGGTGTTTTTTGTTTTTATAGAAAATTTAATATTATTTTTGTTGTTTGCAAATTTTTCTTTTAAATTTTTTATACTAAAAATTTAGTCCTTTTCTTAGTTTACTTTATATATATGTATATAAATATATATGTATATATATATATATATATATATTATATATATACATATATATAATATGTATGTGCACAATGTAATCATTCCAATGTTGAAATTCAAGAATATTAAATTTTTCTTTATTTTAAATTTTACAATGAAAATAAATCATCAGAAATTAATTTCGGTTTTAGTTTTTAAAATTCTCCTTTCGATATGGAATGGTTTGTTGTTGTTTTTTTTTGTTTTTTTTTAATTTAATAAGTTCAGATTTTTTTATAGTTAGTAGACTTTTAAACTTTATTTTTACTAGACATCCGTGTTCTATATAGTGTTTTTTTAGTATAGTGAACAACAACCAATTTGTTATACAATCATCCATTATATGTTTCTGTAAAAAAAAATGTTAAATATTATATTCAATATTATGTTGAATTGTTAACCAATAATTAAAAAAGAAAAATATAGTGAATTTAGAAAGAAAATTGAGCTAAAATCTTTTTGTAGTTTGCTTAAAATAACAGAGGTCGAGCTCTAGACAAATCTATTAAAAAGATGACAGACATTCTGAATTGATCTTCTTATAAGCCAAATATAACATAAGCTAGAAACTAAACCTGCTGTGGACCGTTTGTGTAGATTTTACAGCAGGACAGAAGACACTACAGCACATAGGTTGAGTTCATGTTGGCAAATCTTGCCTAGATCAGAAAATGTAGTGCGTTTTTGTCACAACACTGCAAAATGCAAATCGTTTTCGTGTAAAGGACTTTTAAAGATCTACTCTCATATTGTTAACATGAAGATTCGAAAACTGGCATGACATAAAAATACAATTGAAAAGCTATAATTATAAAGTCAAGATGAAGGAATTAATGTTTGATAATATTTTAATAATTTTCAACTAATTTTAAAGTCATTATTTAGTTTCAAAAATTTATTGTGATTGATTCCTTCAGTTTTCTGCTTTTAATTGGTGCTAACAGAAGTAGAATTAAAATTTTAAGATCTGCCAACATGAATTTAACCATATATTTTACTGTAATTAGCTGTTTATTTTTAAACGACTTTCGTACTTAAAACGGTACGTTCTGGTACCATTTAAATTCTTGAGTTCAACAAATAGTATGTGCGGGGCCGCTGATCTAAAGGGAAGGCTCTAATTTAAAAGGGTTGTTATAATGATTCAGCACTGACAGCCGCATAAATACTCCAGTAATTATTTTAATCTTTCTACAGTACTTTTTTATAGAATTTACTTTTTTCAATTAAATTTTAACATTTATGTAAAAGAAAATACAACTACTCACCACAAAAAAATTTTTTACACGCTAATATTTATTGGTTTAATCCTCTCAACTATATATATATATTTATATTATAATCATCTTATTTGAATTTTAATAAGGTTGGTGTCTTGGTTGACGACCACTGCCTCTTTGTTTACCGCCAGGATAATTCCCTGCTGCTGAAATTTAATGTAAAGTAAAAATAACGAAACTTTTATTTTTAAGAGATTGAAAAAAAAAATTTTACATTTTTTACCAATTTTTAATAATAGCTCTACATAATATTTGTTCTTTGGGAATAAAACATGCGAAAATATATAGTTCTCGAGAATTAGTGATAACGTAAATAGCAACTAAATTAAATTTAATATGCATTGTTTTTTTCATAAAAATAAAGTTTTCAATTCATAGAAAATTCTAATAAATTTTCTTTTAATAAAACATTCTAAGATCGTACACTTTAATTTTTTTAGTAATTTAATCAAACTTTAGTAAGAGTTTATAAATGTATTAAACTCTGTTCGAGCAGACTTTTTCATATTATTAAATTTAATTATAAAAAGAAATTCTTTTAGTAACGTAATTCTCAGATTCGTATATTTCTTAAGGAAAACAAATTTACATTATTTTGCAATAATCATTCATAAAATGAAAACTTTATGTTCAAAATGTAAAATCAATGCATTTTAAATATTAGTGTTTACATAAATCTTAAAACAATATCCATATGTTTTTTTGTTAATAAGTTACTATTTAGAAAATCGCAATCTTCAAGATTAAAAATATCGTTAGGTTAAGAATTTCAACAAATCAACATAAAACAAATCATTCTAAAAATTTATACAAAAAGTTTTCTTCTATAAAAATTTTTATAAAATAATATACATATATAATATATATAAATAACGTATCATATAAAGTATTCTTCTATTTAATTTAAAAAAAAAATGTTCATTTTTAGGCAAAACATAAAATGATTTTCGTTAAAACTATAGAGACCAACAGTTTTATTTTGATTTTGCACTTTTCTCAAATTTTCCTAATATGGTGTTAACGAAAATCTTGTGCAAAATGAACAAGGAATTTTTGTCAATTAAAATTATTGATAATTATTACAAAAATTTGTTTTAAACAAAGGAAATTTAATAACTAAAATTTATATTAACTAAAAGGGAAGCGTATATATTCTAGTGGAATAATATACCTTTGCCTCCACGTGGCCCTCCTGCTCGACCGCTACTGTTACCATAGCCGCCGTCATAACCTCCATATCCATAGTCTGCATTTTTAAATTTAATATTTTTAACACATTTTTTACTTTAAATCTTTATAAATTAATATTAGCAAATTTAAAATAAATTACAAGACACTTACGGACTAGTTCTTAGTCGACATTTTAATCATAAGAGATTGTTAATATAAGACAGAACAATTGAAAAATATAGATATAAACAATAAATTTCATAAATTCAAAGCCAAAATATTTTTAAACTTTTGGGTAACTTTTAAAAATTCCGATTAATTTCAATCGTTATTTTTATTTGTTTGGAATCATGTTTTTCATTGTTTAAAACTGCCCAACAATCTCTCGTTATATTGACCACTGGTTCGTGGGTACCTTGTATAAATATGTTGTATTTTTTAAATAGATATTGATTGTAAATTTTTTTTAAAACAGTAGCAAATTTTGAGCTTGACATATGTACAAACTGAGTATGTATATGTAAATATTTAGGTTTTAGTACATGTTAAAAAAAATAAACTTAAGTAATTTTAGAATAAATATAAAACCAAATACTAAATTGTAACCTTTTAAAAAAATACAGTAGAAGAAAAAGTCATTGCTACGTTTACTCAACAATCTTACAAAGCAAATAGAGACTTGGGACACGTATAAATTGATGAAATGTTTATTTTATTACTGTTATTAAAAGGATATTAGCATAATGTTAAGAAGGAGTCATGGAGTCAGGTTTGTTGTATTCAAAATAGTTCTTTACTTTTCAAAAATTACACTTTGTAAAAATTTTGATGTATGTATTCCGAAAATCCTTAAAATACATTATAAAAACAAAGTAATACATTTTTGTTATAAGTTTAGCTTAGTTGCTATACAAACCTTAAAATTTTGAAGTTTTGAAAAGCGGTTATGCTAAAATTACTGATTCTATTTTATCTCATAGACTTTCAAAACTATATTTAAACAATGATGCGATCAAAAAGGTCTATTGTGAAAGATATTTTTTTACCACTTGTCACAAAAATGTTTGAAAAATACTTTCGAAAAAAATTGGAATTATTTCTTATATAAAAAACGGAAAATTTCAATAAACTTTCATAATTGAGACTGTTGTTTTTAATATAAATATACAAATTATATATGTATGTATGTATATATTCGTTTCATAGTTTTTGGAAGGGTCTCCTCTACTTGCACCGATTTCGAGAAAACGAAGAAAAATATTTCGTCATTCTCTGCTTCCTATAACAACATTAAAAAAACTCCGTAAATATTCCGTAAATTGAAATATTTATGTTTAATAAGTACAGTTTAAATGTAAATACAGCGTTTCTGAAAACTACAACTAGTTTTCAGCAAAATTCATAGCATAACTTGAAAATACAATTAAAAAAATAGGGCAAATCAATTTTTAAAGCATATTTAAAAAACTTATCTCCCTTAAGTCTTAATATTGTTTTGTGTTCTTCCCTTACGCGCTAATACTTAATTATTTACTTTAAATCAATAATTTTCTATATCTCGTGTTATAACTCAAATTTCCTAATAATGTTATCTTTTTCCCTCCATCACTCCCTCCCCTTAAGAGTTTTCTAGGGTAACATCTAATTTTTTAGGTTTAAATTTGACTAACAAAGTAAATGACTTATCTGTTGTAGCATAGCCCATATGTACAACAGAGAGGTTATTAAATATTGTAATTTTTTAAATATATATTCTAGGTTTTAAAACAAATTATTCTATAAACTATATATTTCCAATTAAAATAATAAAATTTATGAGAGAAACACATTGCTTTATTTATTTTTTTTTGTTCTTTTATTTGCGTTTATGTTTTAATTCATTTTGTTTTATAATTTTTAACATATTTTTTGTATATATTTTTCATAAATGTGTGAATTTTAATTACAAATAGTAATTGATTATCCTCAATTCAAATAATATAATTTTGTATTTATTTATTTTTTTTTTTTTAAATTTTTAAATTTTGTTATTTTTTTTATTGAATTTTTTATTTTGATCTATAATTACTACCTTGTTTCTTCGAATATTTTTAATTTTTAGTAGGATTTTCATGTTTCACAATGTATTTCCACATATATTTTATTATTTTTATTGAATTTACTTTTCAATTTATATCAAATGTATGCAATTTTTAAAAACGAAAAATTTTAATTTTTTAATTATTTTTGAAAAAAATCGACAAAACAAAAATTTTAAAGACGTGTATTTATATTGTCACCTCAAAAAAATTAATTTATGTTAATATTAAGATTTTTCTTAAAAATTCTTGTAAAATTTAGAGATAAAAATAAATATTTTAACACTGTACAAAAGAAAATATATATAGATATAAACATATACACATAAATATATATGAATATATATAAATATATATTTATTAAGAAAAAATTTATATTTAATTAGCAAAAAAAATTGTAAAATAATTATATATAGTATATCAACTTTAAAGCATATTAAAAAATGTTTAAGAAAAAAAATTTTTTTTTATAATTTTATCATCTTTCAAACAAAATCAAAGTCAAATTATGTATAATATATATAAAACTTTAATTTTTATATCTTTTAACGCAAAAATAAAAATTATGTACATATATATTTTCTTTTTAAAATATGTATGTAATAAAAAATAAAAAAAACTACTGGTGAGGCGAAAAGTTATCCTTTAAATTTACTATTATCTCATTTTACACATTTTTATAAATTTTATTCCATAAAAAATACGTGAAAATAAATTGTTAAAAAAACTAGAAAAACAAAAATCATCAAAACCCAAACAATATTTAATAAAAAGGAAATTTAAACATTGAGAAACATGCAAAACATTTTTTTTATTTCTATAAAGTTAAAATTTTTTTTGTATTTTTGAATTCAATTTAGAAAAAAAAAAAACAAAAAACCGAGAACTTTTTTAGGCATCAAATTAAACCTAAAACGGTGGTATCCCTAAAACACGGTAAATAAAATTTTTTATGTTTTGTAAAAAATTATCTGCGTTTTATCAAAACAAAAATACCTTATATTTTGATTTACATATATTTGAAAATAAAAAAAATCTCAAATAGATGTAAGAAAAAAATTTAAAAAAATAATTTTATTCAATTTTTTTTTACTGTATTTTTTAACAAAAAAATGTAGTTTATGATTTTAATAAAAATCTGAAAAAAATAAATTTTAGATTTAATCTGATATTTAAAAAAGTACTTAAGAAAACTATGTTAAGAGTTCTCATGTAGACTATACAAATAGAATTAATTTTTATTCAAAAGAAATTTACTATGCAATTATGAAAACGTTTTTGTTGTATTAAATTCGTGGTATTTGATGAAAGAAGTTTTCTTAATTATTTTAAAAATTTACTATAAAAAAAAATTTTTTTTTTATTTTTTTAACATGAAATTCTACTAAAAAAAAAAATAGAATTAAATCAAAAAACTAAGAGTTAAAACTAAAATACAATTTATTTTTAATTAGAGTTATATAGAAATATTTAAATTTTTTTACTGAAATTAAACTGAATTCGACGAAGTGTGTTTAGATTTTTCTTTTTTTTTTTTTTAATGTTTATTTATTCGCTTTTTTTTATTTTCTGCAAAAGTTATAAAACATTAATTATTGTTTGGTTCTATAACTTTTAATTTGTAAAACTACTAAACTATTTATTAAAAAAAAAAATAAGTAAATGCAAAAATATTGATAATTTTCGTAATGTTATTTAAAAAAAAAAATTTTTTTTTTGCCTTCAATAATCGAAAAAAGTCACAACAAGAAGTAAAATTGTGCTTTTTCAGTCAAAAGAAAAACAAATATAATTACTTGACTTGCAAATAAAAGAATTATTTTTTATATCGAACACAGTAGCTAAAAAACAACTTACGTATTGGCAAACAAATTTTCAAAATTTTTATGAAAATTAAGTTCCTTGTTTATAAATTAAATCAATTTTGTAAAATCAAAATTATACGCAAGTTTAATTTTATAGGCAATCATAAAATTATCTTTATAGATGAATTTGCGCTACTGTGATTTTTTTTTATTTTATTTGTTATCTTCTTTTCTTCAATATATATCACTAAATGATTTTTGTGAAGAGGAAATATATAAAATAAAAAAAAAAATAAAAAAAAAAAAACACAAAAATCATCGTTTTTACAATAAATATTATGTAAAATGGTACTTTTCTTTTGATCACTTTTGTATAACAACTTTAAAAAAATTTTTATAAGTTTTATAGAATTCAATGAAACCCACCAATTATTTTTATTTGATTTCTTCATTGAAAAACTTAAAATAATATCTATGTGTTTTATTTTTTCTCAAATTATAAAAACTTTCAAATGATTAAAATTGAATTGATTGAATTTTTATTAATTAAATTAAATTCTTAGTATCTGATTAAAAAATTTTACTTTAGTAGATTTTTCTTATTTGAAAATGAATTCGTTTGCTTTCAAGAAGTGTAAAAAAAAATTTTGTATTTGAAATTATAAGAAAAATACATATTAAAATAAAATATATTTGAATATTACAACATTACTTGTAACATTAAAATGAAAAAAAAGTAAGATGTAATATCAAATGACTGCGGCTTTTTCTTTTATTCAATAAATTTTGTGATCGGTATATGTATCCCATAAAATATGTATTTAAAAAATATGTACACACATAAAATAATAAAATAACTGTTATTATATATAACACTTAAATGACTAACATTACGTGTAAATAATGTTTGTTTCTATACAAACTTTATTTATATAATATATTATACATCTTATATATATATATATTAGCTTATATTCATTTTTTAATTGTTATCAAATAAGAAATGAATATTTTTTTATTAGATTTATAAATTTTGCATACGAAAATATATGCTAATTATAATAAAACAATTTTCAAAATGTTAAATTTTCATATTTCGTTTTAAAATTTTTTTTTGTTTTTTTTTTTTAAAATAAAAAACTATTTAGAAAAATAACATTTCAAAAATATTATATGGTAAAAATATATTCAAATGTATATACGTATGTTATTTAAATATAAATTATGTATATATATATACTTATATATATACATATATATAAAAATAAAAATAAAATTATGTGCAATAAATTGGTTTTTTTTTATATTATTTTATTGTTACAAAAGGCACAATGTAACCGGATTTCATATCTTTTTATATTCATATTTCTTTTTTGATCAATATTATTAATTGGCACAATTGTTTAAGCTTACAATAGTATATACGCAATAAATAAAAAATATATTGGAAATTTCATAGAGAAAAAATATTGTGGAGATCCAATCTGTTTGAATTTTGATCATAAAAAAATTACATCAAAAACTTTGTAAAAAGTTACGACTTGTATTCCAAAAATTTTTTTAATCAATTTATTATTAAAATCCAATATAGAATCGGTATGCTGTGTAAAAAAATAAGTTTAAATTATGTACGCGTAATATATTATAATATTAAATCTCAGCAAAATACTGATTTTTTAGTTGGGGACATAATTTTCTTGTAACTTTAAAGGAATTTATAAAAAAAAAAAAAAATATTTTCTTGTAATGGAAACGTAATAGCACATGAAAAATAAAAATTTTTTAAAAAGAACAAAGAAAAAATATTTACTTTAATACTTTTTTTTTTTAAATTCAAATCAAACAATAAATTTATAAAAATTTTAATTTTTACTAGATGAATTTTCCCATAACAGCATACGAAAGTCAATAAAATTTTTGTAAAATTTAATCTACATATTTCAATTGCTATGCACTTTTAAAACTTTTTCATGCAAGAGTGGAAAATTTGAAGAGTTGGTTTTTATTTATATTTTTAATATTATTTTTACTTTTATATATTTAATTATCAAAATTTTGCAAAATTTATTTAGAAAAAAAAAAAAAAAATTACTTATAGATTTAAACACACTTTTTCGCCAATAATGTTCGATTTTTTTTCTTCTTATATGTATTTTTGTTTTATTTTATTATTGTTAAAGGATGTTGATTGTATTTATATAATTGTAATGCACAATTATACCAAAGGAATAATGCATTTACATTAACTTTTTATTGTTGAATTTCAAAAATATTTTTCAATATTACTTGTAATTAATAATTTTAACCCTTTTCATATTATGTTATTTCTTTTGATATTCAAAAGCCTTAAATATATATCTGTGATAACTATTTCAGTATTACTAACAAAAAATATACAAATTATAAACAAAGAGTTAAATTTTAAAAAACAACTAATATGTATAATTAATGTGGGTATATTTAGCAACCTTACACAAATCAAATAAAATATAAAAAATATTAAAAAAGTTGACTTATATTAAATAAAATATTTAAAAATTTGAAATTAAGAAAAATCAACGATCGATTAAAAATAAAAAAAAAAAAATCGTATTAAAAAAATATTACCGACACCGTATGTAAGTATAAGTATGTAATGGCTAATACAAATATTTTTTCCCCAGATATATATTCATAATTTAATTATTATTCTGAAAGGGTTAAAAAATCAAATCAAAATTTTTCGTTTTGGTTTCAATTTTCCTTTTTTTCAAAAGGCTTTATTAATATTTTGTTGATTTGCCTAATATCTATTAATTAAGTCAAGAAATTTAATAATTTCTGTCAACGAAATAAAAGAATAATTGAGGTCGTAAGTTTATATTAAAAAAAATATGAGTGGAAGTAAAGTGCTCTTGTGTTGTAGAAATTATTAAATTTTTTGATTTTGTTCGTTAATTGGTTATTTTCTTAATGATAGCTATTGTTTTTACTATTGTAGGCAGAATGGTTTTGATATGTTGATTGATTGTAGGAGGAGGTGTATTTACCATAATTTCCATATCCAGGATATCCTTCATAACCTGTATAACCACCATATCCACCGTAGTAATCATAACCACCGCCGTAGCCATCATAGCCACCATAGCCGTATCCTTGGCCATAACTACCATAGCTTTGATTACTCCATCCTTGTCCATAACCTTTAGTAGATGTACCTTAATATTAGATTTTTTATAAACGATCATAAATTAAAACAAACAAAATCAGAATATATTTAAAAAAAAATATATAATATAAATGAAAAATAAAAATAACCAAAACGTAAAATAAAAGGAATGAACACAACAGATATATTAAAAATATTATATAAGACAAAGATTATTCAATATTTTTTTTTAATCATTACCATACATTACGTTTATTAAAATTTAGTAATGTTGTTATGCTCTATAAAAATTATGTGTAATAATCTCTATGAAAAATATTTTTTAAAATTCATTCTTTTATTTCGATAATCTTGAAGAAGTAATCAAATAAAAATATATTAGGAACTTCAAGTAATAATTAGTTTATTAGTTACAAATTTAAGAAAATTTTATGGATAAAAAAAAACAATATAAATTTTTAAGTTTTACGTTATCGCGTTTGTTCAATAAAAATAAATAAAAAATGTATTTATAAAAATTTTACTAACCTCCTCGTCCACCTCGTCCTCCGCGACCACCCCGCATTCCACCGCGCATACCCATTCCCATACCCATTCCCATTCCCATTGGCATAGTGTCCAGTTTTGGAGTGGCTTTCTTAACATCAACTTCTTTACCAGATATTGTCTGTTTTGGTGTTTTCAATAATTCATTAACAACTATTTCTGATTCAAAAGTTATAAAACAAAATCCTTTGCGTTGATTTTTTTGTTTGTCAAATGGCATTTCAACTTCAACAATCTGAATGAAAAGAGGAAGTATTTTTTCTTTATATAATAAATAAATATGATAAGTAAGAATTTTAACATTTTTGAAGGATAAGAACCTTGTAATTTTCTTTTAGTAAGTAATTAAAATTAAAAAAAAAAACTTCTTGGATAAGAAAATATTTGTTATAGCCATTTTTAATTATGAGAATAAAACACGTTAAATCTTTACTCCGTACTCAACAAATGGCCCGTGAAAATAACAAGTCAAAGTAAGATACCAAATTAAAAAAGTTCGGAAAACCGAACAAATTTTATTTAAGGTAGTTTTTAAATATAAATTTATTTTTGTTAGCTTTGTATTGTACTCACCTTTCCGAATTGTTCGAAAAATGTTTTAATTTCGTCGTCGCTGATTTCAGTTGTTAAACCACCAACAAATATTTTACCATGTCTGGCTTTAGCTCTTTTGGGGTCAACTTTTTTATTATTGATGACATGTTCTGCAACTCCTACAACTTTTTCGATTGAATCTGCAGACGAATATACTATAAAGGCGAAACCCCTTGATCTGCCACTTTGTGGATCTGTTTTAACATTTATACTTTCAATTTCACCATATTGACCAAAATGTTCTCTCAATTCCTCTTTAAAAATAAAATAAAATAATTTAAAGCTTTCACTTATTATAACATGTTTAAGTTGGCATAAAGATTTTACCAGCACATATGCGGAATTTTATACAGTATAGAATTAAAATAATGAATTCATGTGTTATTTCAATTTTTTAATTAATTTACACGTAATGTAAGATAATAAACAGTACAAATTGTTGAAAAAAATATTAGAATTATTAATTTGAAAATTTACTCAATTACAAGCTTTTGTGAAGATTTTTACTTTTGATACTATCAAATACAAACGATGTTGAAATTTGCTTAATTTTAAGAAAAAGGGAAAAACACTTTTATTTAGGAAATGCAAATTAGATTTTTTTACAAATATTTTTGATTTATTTATTTAGCTTTTAAAATTTTTTTTTTTTTTTTTTTTTTTTTTTTTTTTTTTTTAAAATTTAAATTTAAAAATATAGGAGAAACACTACCATTATGAAATTTTAAATGGGCTTTCCGCAAGATGTACATAATTTAAGAATTATTTTATTAAATACATAATTGAAAAAAAATTAAACTTACTTTCAGTTGTATCCCAACTTAGTCCTCCAACAAACAGTTTTCTGCAAAAATATAAAATTGCATTAATTTTTGCTTTTTAACTATAATTGCCCAAATATTTCTTTTTAAATTTTTGGACATGGCTTTTATGTTTTATAATTCTTTAATTTTGATTAAAAGTTTAACAATTTTGTATATAATATTTAAAAAAAAAATCTTACTTTATATTTAATTAAGAGTAAAATGTTTTTATAAATTAAATTTTTCAAAATGACTTCAATTATTATTTTGAAAAAAAAGGCAAATTTAATCTCTGTATATATATATATGTTTTAAAATTTAAAGAATAATCGGAAATTTATTTTATTTGTTTATATATATATAAAAGCTCATCAACAACAAATACAACAATTTTAAATTTACGTTCTAAATCAAAGGCCAAAGTGAAAGTGAAAAATTTTATTGTATATATATATATGTAAATATATCTATTAGTTCTCTAGGTTAAAAATAAAAAAAAAAACAACAGATTTATTTTTGGATTTGCAAAATTTACGATTGACTTTCTTTAAGTGAATTTTTTCTCTTTATACAAAACAAAAAAAAATGTTTTTTTTACTTATTTTTTTTTCATTACAGTTTAGTCTTTTTCCAACAAAGTTTAATCTTTATTTAAATAAAAAAAATATATTTTTTTTATTTGTAATAAATACCATCTTGTGCTCTGTGCTGTTGAACAGGTTGGACGTTTTTGGATCCACTTCGTTCTTTATTATTTAATTTTTAAATTTATATTTTGCTATAAATTTATTTTTGTTTTTTTTTTTTGTTATTTGCAGATCCACAGAACACACACGAACTCAAAGTTAGTTGCTGTGATGTCAGGAGGCATAGTGCGCAATTTGTGGAGATTTTGTTCACATATTTCGTCCACTCTCATTATTCTCTCTCTCATATAATTCAACACCTGCCGGAGAGGAACAAGATTAGTTCTCTCTATACACAACAGGATCCAAAATTGTAAAGTGTGTTTTTTAAATGTCATTAAAATTTTTATAAAATTTTGGTTAATGTTGTTCGAATCCATGGTTTAAAAAAAAATATACATTGTAATAATAATAATAATAATAAAACAAATTTATATTAACGTAAGCCGACATCTTGATTTGTAATATTAAATTCAAATTACACTTCTTTGTTACTCAGTTATGTTCAATTAAATAGTTATCTTCTTAAGTTTTGTCAATCGAAATTTTAAAAAAAACATTAACTTATTGTCATTTTAGTTTATTGCTATAAAAAATTTAGTAATATAATTAAAACAAGAAAAACAATTTTACAAATTTTTTAATTATAAATTTAAAAAAGAAAATGCAAGAATTTCTTAAAAAATAATTTAACTTTATTAAATTTACTTAAAATTTTAACAAACCGATATTTAACATTATTTTGATATTATATTTTAATATTTAAGGATTCGCCATAAATTCAATCACACTGATGAATAATAATTTAAAAATAAAATAAAATTTAAGTCGAGATCCTTTTTGTGTAATAGAATAATGTATTATATATATATATATTTTTCAAATGCTAAAAAAAATTTAAAATATTTAAAATAAAATAATTTATATACAGAAACTTTCATTTTATCACTTGAATACGATTTTTTGACATAAAATAAATAAAAACAAAAAAGAAATTTGCTAATTAATGCTCTTTTTATTGCAATGTTACAAAATTAATTCGCATAAATAAAATGAAACAACTAAAATTTCAAAATTTAACAGAAAAAATCAAAAAATATTATTGACATCATGATAAAATGCAAGTTTATTCTTTAATTTCTTTTTGCAGATAATTACCATTTGCTTACATCCCAAAGTAGCTGACTTAAAAAGTACAAAGATTTACCCATGTTCAGCATAACACTGAATTAGAAAGTACATACATACATCCATACTAAAACGTAAAGTTGTATACATACATATATAACTTGTACTTATGAATATAGATGATACAAATAAATGTATGCCTTGAAACGAATTTTTGGTCCATTTTCGTAACGTTAGGATCAGAAATAATAAGTTTTTTTAAATTACATTCTAATTTGCATAGCCAAAAAACTTAAATTTAATGAACACTTTAAAAATATAACAGATATTTGTTTATTTTTAAAATAAACAATAGTTGATTGATTTATTCAATCAAATACTATAGTGTTAATCTACTTGCGATTTAAAGAAAATTGTATGTACATACATAAATACTTTGTACATAAATCCATTGAACTTATACTTTCAGAATATTAATTAAGGCAAATATATTCAACCATATTCTATTAGTTGTAGTATCGCATGCAAATATTAGATGAAATGTTCGAATAAATCGCATTTGAAATTTGAGCTTAATGGAATGGAAAACAATCCCCGTATTGCCAAAAGTTTTTCCGCATGTTCAAAAAAAAAAGTATTAACAAGTTGATATTAAATTTCGAATCGTTTTTACGAAATCTTGTAATACTTTAAAAATTTGACAAAACTTTCAAAAGAAATTTAACTGAATTTAAAAGGTTATATACACATAACTAAAATATTTATCACGTTATTTTATCTTCAGATTTTTTGTGACATTACGTCGATAGTTAATGTTAACAATCTTTAAAGACTTTTTATCGCCTCTACAGACTCTAGTAGCAGAAAGCATATTTGATTTAAGGTGGCATGATAGATTTTTTTTTTATCACATCAGTGATGCGACTAACAGAATATGGATGATTATTTCAGTATTATAATGCATAGCTGGTTAAACAAACTTTTGTTGTTGATTTAAATCAACAAATATTTTTTCGTTTTAATAATGTTAAATAGGTATATTTATGTTATATTCACGTTATATATATATATATTAAAAAGAATGTTTATTACGATTCAGTTAATTAAATAAACATAAATTACGTTTGATCAATGTAATTTTGATATACTTAGGATCTACTTTACTGAACGAAAGGAAAAAGTTAAAAATGTTTAATTGTTTAGAATTAAAGTTTTTTGAGATTTACATGCTTTTGTTTGATATAAACATTACATACCTATTTACTTTATTTTTTTTTACTTTTTTATAAACATTACATACCTATTTCTAAAAGATGTCTTAATATTCATTTTTTTATTTAAGGTAATTGGTAATCATATAGATTATAGAATATAGATTATCAATTGGCTTGGCAATCTATATAATTAACATAAAGAAATTCATGTTTTTCTTTTATTTTTCATTGGATTGATGGAACTTTATTAAAACTACAGTTCCTTATCAATACCGTACGTTTTGAAAATACTTTAAGGATCGTACTTCTTTTTTTAAAAGTTTAACCCTGTTCATTGCAAATCAATTAATATTCGAGAGTTTAAGATGACTGTTGGCCGATTCATTTACTACACTTTCGATTAGATTGCTTCACTGATGACATTTAAGTTATTCAGAAATTAGTGCTATACATACATACATAAATTAATGATATACAAGTTAATTCATATACCTAACTAATTTATTTTAAATATTTATAAATTTAATTATATTTTAATTATAACGTACACATATCAAAAAAAAACTGTAAACGAGTTTGACTAATTTTTACATTATTTTTTCTCTTTTGTCAAAAAATACTTTATCTATCAATTCAAACCATGGCATAAAAAAAATATCTTAGAATTTGATATGTTAGTGAAAATGTATAGGTATGAATGCTTTTTAAGAGAAATAATGCTTTGCATTTTTTTTTTGCAAAATTGTACTTTTCTGATTTTTTTTTTCGAGTTTTCCGTATAAAAATTTCACAAAGATGAAATAATTTTTGTAAATAGGTTCTTTGAAAAATTTAAACTAAAGAATATTCAATTTTTAACTAAAAATTTTAATAAAATTATGCATTTATAATATAGTTAACCACATTTTAATTAATTTATGAAGCCATTTTTTTAATTAACTTGTTACGTTCATTGAGGATATAAGTAAAAGAATTTAAATATTTTCTCTAAAAAAAAAAAAAAACAAAAAAAAAAGATGTGAAACATTTCTTCAAAATCAATTTTTTTAATGTAACATAATATCGCAAGAATTTTTGCGCCAATATCTTTTTATAAAAAACTTTTAAATAGTTGATTTTTTGAAAAATATATTAATTATGTTAAAAAGAATCTTTCACCTTTAATTTTTCCCACTGTTACGAACTTTTGTTCCTTTGAACTTTTAGATCTATATTTTTCCCACTTTGAGTTTTACAAATAAAAATTGTATATAAAATATTTGATGACATTGGCGCTACTTTTGCCTTGATCCATTTTAAGCAAGTGAATTTATATTATTAAACAAATATGCAATCAAATCAAATGGTTTATTTTATTATCTTACTTGTCTTAAAGTAATATTATTAATTTTCCAAAAAATTAAAACAATCGATTGGTATAAGTGCACATTTACTCACCCCAATTTGTATACGAAATACTTAAATTAACATTCAGAATACTTTTTCTTACAAATTATAGGTAGTTTTATTTTTGATTCTTTAATCATATTTTAATTTAACAGTTTTCAAAAGTTTACAATCAAAAAATTTGTTAACTAAGATTCAAGTCAACGTAATGTAAATAAAGTTAAAACCCCCTTAGCGGTTTAGATTCGGTCAAAAGGAAGTTCAACCGATACATAAAAAAAAAAATTATTGGGTAGCTAGTATAGGGTAGATAGTATCTATTTTAAATCGATAAATGTCATGAAACTTTGATTTTTATAAATGCAACTAAACGCATCTGTATATACACATACATATACCATGTATTTTGCAATTTTGTATATTTTAAGTTAAAAAAAATATTGTGCAAAAAAGTACAAGAAACTAATAAATAGTAAAAACATGAAAATGTAGAGAACAATATAATGTCAACACTTGTTAATTATTCCTAAATAGGAGCATATTGATATTTTAAGTCAAACCGTGTCTGTATCTAAAATGTTTGAAGCACATGTGTATAAAAATTGTTTTTCAAATTTGCATTACATCTTGCCGTCTATTCACAATGTTTTTATATTGTTCATAGATACTGTCATTCTTCTAATTCTGATTAACTATATATGATAAGCAGAATTACGTACATATATTATATGAAAGCAATCTTCAGATAAAGTCAGTATTTGTGTTTAAAATAAAAAAGTTTACATTTTTCATGGGGAGAAGTTACAATGCAGTACCTGGGGACGCAGCATTTTTGCATGTACATAAGTATATGCATATACATATATACTTATGTATGTTCAAAATGTCTACATATATATTAATCAAGCTATTTTAAAATTTTTTAAGTATGTAATAATTATAATTTTAATTAATCCATTTTATAGAGTAGTGTATAATAGCCACTATCGATTAATTAATAATTTACAATTGCCGGTTCTTTTTACCATCTTGCGGCGTTTCGTATTCTGAGACGCAATTGTCTAATATACATATGAGTAGTATATTTATATATTCTATTAATTGAACGATTATACTGAGGTAGAGAGATATGGTTTTTTTTTTATATAGAAAAACCATTGCTTGAGTTACTGTACAATACAACACGCACACAGAAAAAAAAAATTCTTACGTGTTCAAGTTCTAAATCAACGCCATTTTTGTTGTACAAAAATATTTCTTACTCATCAGTCATCATCCTTTAAAATATTTACACATGCATATCTAATATATGAATATGTAGACAAATAAAAGCAAAAAATATCTACTTTATCTGTATTATGTATGTACGTTTATTATAAAACTGTACATACATATAAAATTTATCGATTTTTACTGAATTACCATATTGAAGACACTTCTTCAACGAAGAACAGGCACATATTTAAAATAATTTAAGGAAGTAAAAATCCATTATATAATATTTTTACCTATCATCATCTCGTCCTGGAGCGCCTGAATCACCATTTTGACCGTGATCTTCTCCATTGACTTGCTGCTCAACATCTTTAGAAAAATCTTCTCCATTCATTTCAACATCATTCCTATCTTTATCTGCCATTTTTTATACTTTTGATCTCACAATAATTAGAAATGCAGAATTTTATTAAATTAATTAGTTAATTTATTTTCTTTTCACTTAAATAAAATACACTCAGCAACCACGCAAGTGGATAACAAAATGACTTCGCCGGAAGAGACGCGCTTTGAAAAAAAAGTAGTTTATTATTCTTGCCAAAAGTTTCAAAAATGGCGTTACTTTCGAAATTTTGACAATGTCTGAAGCCACCTCGGGGAAGTCATAGAAAACTACACAGAAAACATATGTATACAAAAGAAATTTTCGTTCTTTAATATTTATATGCACAATACTTAAAAACTATGAACAAGAAAATAGATACATAAGTATGGTAGAATCATGAATATATTTATTTTCTATTTATAATTTTTTTTTTTTTTTTTTCTTTGTTAATACTGCAACTGAGTCAGAGTGACTCATCTAGCAATTCATTTTTCACTTTTGAATCTGGGGGTGGTGGGCACGCATGCAGTGATGTTACCCGATCTTAGACGCTATTCCGTTTCCTCACTGCTATATCAACAAATCGTGCGGCTTCCTTCTTTTAAGTCTCCTGACAGGTTCAATGTCCTGAAAGATCCTTCTCATGTTTATGTTCTCGTGTAATAGTAACCTGTCATAGTGTTTGCGAGCGAATCTTTTAGCCTCTTCTGCGACTGAGGGAATTCCCAAGTCTCGGTGTATAACCTTGTTTTTTACGTACCATGGGGCACCTAATATAGCTCGGAGAATTTTATTTTGGCATCGCTGAATGATGTCAATGTTGCTTTTGGAGGCACACCCCCAAAGTTGGATCCCATATAGCCAAATGGGTTTTATGACCTGATTGTATATTAAAATTTTGTTGTGTATGCTCAAAGCCGAATTTTTACCTATTAGCCAGTTCAGTTTTCTACATTTGTGGTTAATTTGATCCCTTTTGATTTTTACATGAGTCTTCCATCTGAGCCTTGTATCCAAGTTCATACCAAGGTATTTCGCATTGTTTTCTATAGGCACTTGAATACCATTAATTTGAACGGGTACCGGGTTGAATCTACGGTTTGAGAAGTGAACCTGCACAGATTTGGCTTCATTTAATTGTATTTTCCACTTTTTTGTCCACAAGCTAATTTCGTCAAGAGTTTCCTGGAGCTTGGAGGCACATTCTTCAGCAGAATCTCCCGTCACCATAATTGCGGTGCCGTCTGCAAAGGTGGCCGTAAATACTTCGCTTTTTAAAGGAATATCCCTAGTGTACAGGAGATAAAGAATAGGTCCCAAGACACTCCCCTGCGGAACACCTGCTCTAATTTGTTTTAGTTTTGAGTATTCGCCATTTTGTTTAACTCTGAAGCATCTGTCAGTAAGATAGGAAGTAAGTAGCTTGCAGAATGGCTCTGGCAAGTCCCTCCCAATCTTAAATAGCAGGCCTTCGTGCCATACCTTGTCAAAAGCTTTTGCGACATCAAGGAATACACCTGTACTTATAAGTTTTTCCTCGAACGATCTCTCAATTACATCAACAATTCGATGCACCTGGTCGATGGTGGAGTGTTTGCATCGAAAGCCAAATTGGTGACTTGGAATAAGATTTCTTTCTTGAATTACTGGCTTCATTCGATTAAGAACAAGTCTTTCGAAAATCTTGGACATAATTGTCAAGAGAGAAATAGGTCTATAGGATGTCATCTCATTTATTGGCTTCCCTGGCTTTATCACAACCAAAACTTCTGCCGTTTTCCATTGACGTGGAACATAATTTAAGCGAAGAGCATTTTCAGAATTCATTTTGTGGGAGTTGTTTCAGGACCTCGCTTGTAATCAGGTCATATCCAGGAGCTTTTTTATTTCTGGTGGAGCTGATCTCTTTTTTTAGTTCTCCCGGAGTAATTCTTCGGAGTAATGACTCAGGTGAGGTACACCCTTGGGTAGCTTCTAAGTTGAATTGTCCTGGAAAGGGTTTAAATATATTTTCTAAGTAGTCCGCAAAAACGTCTGCTTTTTCTTGATTAGAAATAGCCCATGAGCTGTCGTCTTTTTTGATAGGTGGATTCTGAGTTCGTGGTCTTTTGATACACCCGGTAACTTTCCACAGCGAGTAATCCGTATCTTGTTCAGCTGACAAATTTTGAAGCCGATTTGAGATGGATTGATTTCTTATATCTTTTAGTAGTGCCTTTAAATTATTGCTTAGGAGGTTAAGTTTCTGTTTATCCGCTGGTGATCTAGACATTTGCCAAGTTTTGCGAGCTTTTCGTTTTTCTTTGATTAGTTTTTTAATCTCAATGGGATAGTTTATTTTGTTGGTGGTTAATTTATTTTTAAATGTGGTGTTGTTCCAGGCAGCGCTTTGAATTTTAGAGACAAATAAGTCGAGTTCCTCTTCCAGTTGGAATTCATTTTGTAGTGGAACCCGAAGGTTAATTGAATTATTTAGCTCGTTTTTGAACTCTGTCCAGTTAGTTGATTTATTTGTTAGCCTCGGTGGATCATCAACCAAAATAATCGTTTCACTTACAGTTAATATAATTGGCGAATGATCAGAATTTAGATCGTATTTGCCCTCTATACTAAGGTAATTTTCAGATACTCCTTTAACTATGAAGAAATCCACGATGTCAGGCAGTCTTTTGGGATCAGAAGGCCAATATGTTGGGCTTCCAGCAGAGAGAAAAGAACATTTCATTTCATTGCCCACCTCGAAGAGGGCCCTGCCCTTAGGTGTAGTCAGTCTGGAGCCCCAGAAGACATGCTTTGCATTGAAGTCTCCACCTATAACGAAGCTGTTGCCAAGCTCTTCAAACATCTGTTTATATTCTGTTTGTCTTAAATTATGTTTCGGGGGACAGTAAATGGCCGCAATTTTAATGTTTTTATTTTTGGCTCCAACTATAACTGAAGCAATCTGCATGGATTCCTTTTCTATTGCAATAACTGGCTGATGCTCCAAGTTATCCTTAATCAGCACTAATGAACCCCCTTTGGCTTTGTTTTCGGGATGGGTAGCAGAATAAGACTCATATCCTCGTATTTTTGAATATGATTCGTCAGTGAAATGTGTTTCAGAAATTAGACCAATGTCTATTTCCTCGTTATGTAGGAAAACCTCTAGCTCATGGACATGATTAAGTAATCCGTTTGCATTCCATGCCGCTATTCTTAATGTATGGGTCATTTATTATAATGCATCATGTTAATTTTATTTTCTATTTTATCTAGCCGCTGGCATAAGCTTTTTTCTAATATTTCATGCTGCTGCAGTTTATTATATATTAATTCTAAAGTTATCTTCGCTGGAGTTTTTGACTTCAAATTTTCTTTGGCAACTTGAGCAAAAGTTTTCGTTGTTCCATTGATGTGACTACCGCTGGACACCTCATTTATGTCGAATTTTTGTAGGTCTACGTTCTCCAAACGAAGAGTTTTCTGACTTTCTGGGTTATTGTTTTGTGATCTTTTTTTGATAGCAACAGCTCTATTTCTACGCTTTTGGAATTCCTTCGCTACTTCGCAGCCACGGTAATTCGCTGGGTGAGTTCCACCGCAGTTAGCACACGTTGGAGGTAAGTTTCTACTGAGGGTGCAAGAAGCAGAGTCATGTTCTTTCCCACAGCTAACGCATCTAGGAGTCTTTTTGCAGTATTTTTGTGTGTGGTCGTAGGCCTGGCATCGTTTACATTGTGGAGTAGAATTTGTATTCTTCCTTATTGTTTCAATTCTCACAGTAATGCCCAGAATAGATCCGATTTTATATATCTTCTCTATACTCTCATTTTTGTTGAATGTTAACATAAACAAGGGAAACTTTTTAACATGGGTGACCTTTTCACCATTTTCTTTGGTTTGATTTTCTTTTTTGATAATGTTAACTGCATCTTCAATTCTGAAGTTTTGTCTAAGTAGCTCATCAATGATTTCCATACGATCACATGACCAGTGGAGTCCCCTAGCCATAACCCTTATTGGTCTATCATTTTTGTTCTCATATGTGAACCACTGATAACCAGTCTCTTCAAGCTTGTTGACCAAGGCTCTATAATCATTAGGGGCCTCAGCGTTAATTTTCCAGACTTCGTTGTTTAATGGCTTGATTTTATATTTATTTGTGGTGTTAACTAGCAGATTTTTTATTTTTTTATAGTCGTCAATTCCAACAATATTTATAGGCGGAGGTTTCCTTTCTCTAGATTTATAATCAAGAGCCGTATCCTGAGCCACTGAGTTAGTTTTGTCTTCAAGCCTTTTGCTATTCTTCTTCGAAGTTTCTACTTTTTTTGAGTTGTCAGGTTTTGGTAATTCGCTGCTGATTTCTGGAGAAGAGTTAGCCTTTCTCTTCTTATTCCTTCTTCTTGAATGAGCAACCCATTTTAGGTTGGAGTCAGTTTCAAATCCAGTGAGGTCTTCGTCACTTGAGCAGGAATCTTTATTTTTATTCTTATCACAGTTGTTTATACTCGCATTCAGCGCAGATTTTAAGTGTAGATTTTCAGCTTTTAAGATGTTGAGCTCCTCCAAAAGCTTCTTAGTAACAGCTTCGTTCTCAATCATTTTTCTTTCATTTTCAATAATTTGAAGTTTGAAGGAGTACGCCCGGTTACTTTACTTCCGATAACAGAGTTTGAGCTGGTACCTGGTGAAATTGTACTCGTCGAGGTTGAAGTTAGCAATAGTTGGCTCCCCCCAGAATCCGTGGGGCCGGCCTCCGTAGAGGGTGGATTCACCAGTTTTTTTGGCTTACCACCTGGGGTAATCAATCCAGTTGTTTTATCCATTGCATAATTCTTTTGTCCGCCATTCTCGTTTGTTTGCTGACCAGAGTTACTCCACTCGGGTTGGAACCGAATCTTTGGCTCTAGTTGCTCAGCGTAGCAGGAGGGACCACTAGCAGGTGAGACTTGGCGTCGAGCAGTAGAGGCTAGGTTGATATAGTAGGAATTTACCAACTGTATTACGCATGCTGCCCATTCCCCCCCTAATATAATTAATAAATAAAAAGAATTGTAAATTTGTAAAATGGGATTTATTGGTTCGTCAGTATCGGAATGGAATGGTGTATTTCGTACCAAATTAACATACTCTTTATTCTTATTACAGCTTCTTTTCTCCTTCATAAAGTAGAATTAAATTTAATTATTGGTATTGTTTACATCACAGCTGACAGAATGGCAGGCCACGACCCTAAGAGAGACCTCACAGCTGACGAGTTTACACGTATTTTTATGGAAGCTACAGCGGGCGGCCCCTTTTAAACATCATAGATCCCACAAAGATAAAATTTAATTTTTTCCTACTTTACTAGGTGCTTACATTCTTAAAGTTTCTGAAAACATTAATTCAAAACAATTAATTCAAAAAAAAACCTTCCAAACTATGTTGAATTTTTTAAGATTTAGATACATACTACTATGTATATTAGGAAATATTTTCACTATTCTATTAATTTTAGGTCGTGTATTCTTGACTACAAAATGTAGCACCATTTTTTTTAATTCAGCGTGTTATCATTTTTTACTTTCAATTCTGTCAGATATGTCAAAGAAATGCAGAAAAAACTCGAAAATATCAGGCTGATCGTACATCTCGCTTTTTTACTCACTTTTTATTCACATTAAAATCAGAATTCTTAGTTTTTCTAATGCATTTGATCTCAAATTATTTACTGAATGTCTCACTTCAGTCAAGTCAAGTGAATAAATTTTGTATGCATTTTAGATAAAAATGAGATGAATAATACCCAATAATTCTTCTCACTCGAAAATTACACTATAGAAGTATATGATAGATACTGACTTTCTCCTGACTTTCCGACTAAAATAGCGAGATAAACTATTAGGTCTTTAGTCTGATGTGTAACTGGCTCTTAAGATTTAATTCAAGCCTTATAACATATGTATATCTAAACACTATTTAACACCAGACTTTATCTGATGGCAACTAATATAAATTAATCAGTCTACTATTCATTAATATTAGTCAGACTTGTTGCCAAATTCATATTTTAAGGAGGGGAAAATTGTTAAATCTTGGTGTAAAGTTTCAGCTCCATGAGATGAATTCAGAAAGGTAAACAGTCATCAAACTCTATCGCAGATTTAATTTTGATATTTTTCGTCTATTGAAACTTTATCTTAGTCTTTAGTGCGGAAGTTTTATCGAAGAGTCAATTTTATTATTAGTTTCTATTTATTATTATTAGTATATAATTAAGTAGCTATTATATTAATTACATTGTATTGTTTCCAAAATAACTTCGAAAATACAAAACCCACTGTTGTAGATCAGAAATACTATTTCACCTACCGGAAGAAAATAATTCAGATATTTAAAATCTTATAATTCCACTCAGTTAAACTAGATTCATCGGTTTGCAATTTGACATAACAAAAATATCAAGGCCTGGACTCTTCTTTTTTTGTGAATGTATTATGTTGAAACTGCGAATGTTTTTTATTTCAAAATTACTATTCTGAATAATATTTCTTTTCTTTTTTTTTTAAATGATGATTTTTGATAAAATAAATTTACTAAAATATAAAATTTTTTTTAGTAAAATGAAATTTAGTAACGATTAACGAATTAGAAATACTAAAGGAAGGAACATCTTGAAAAAACAATGAAACCAAATTTTTTCTAGTTGTCCCTTTCTTTGCTCCGAGCATTGTCAGAATCGTAACATCGAGCCTCTACTATAAAATACGTGTTTTCAATGTTTCACAGTTTTGTAAAATTTTTTTCAAAGTACATAATGTAAACTAAAAAATATTTCAAAATAAAAACAACTTTAAAACAAAACTCATTACAATTTTTTTCCTCTTTGAATAAATTTATTTTATAAATGGCAAATTTTTATGTATATTAATATCACAATATTTTATGACAATCCAAAATGAACATATTGTGTTAAAAATTTCCTATGTTATTAGATTTGTTTGATAATTTTACTGAAAAACTCTGAACAATATTAATAACAATATATATAAATATATATAAATCTTAATGACTCTAAAACAGTATAATTTTTAAAAACTTTTAATTAACATGAAGGTTATTACTCACTAAAGTAGATGGTATGTTGTCGTATTCTTCCTTATTACTGAATTCAAAGCCTTTATAAAGGGAAATATATCTCATTTCATCATTTCTAGGAAAACTATAATTATACAAAACAAAAATTAATTTAAAATATTTGTTCATATATGCTACATTTTATCAAACACAAACACATTTTGCTTAAAAAAAACCTGGTCCTTGTAAAATTGTGGATTCCGAAGTAATTTTAATTTAAAACAAAACAAAAATATTTGTTTTCTTATTTGTTAGTTATTGAAATGAATAATATTCACATAAAGTGTAAAAAACGTGTTTGTTTTTGCAAATGGGAATAACAATTAAAAATATATACCTTTTTCTTTTCCAACAAATTTTTTTCTTTTTTTCACTTGTTACAGTTTTTTTATAAGTTTTTATAAAATAATATTCTTAAAAGTTTTTATAATATAATAATAACACTTATTATTACATATTTTAAGATTTTTCATTTACAAACTGCACTAATTTTGTAAATAAAAAAAAACAAAATTTCCTTTGTTTACTTTTTATATGGTGGCGCGTAATTTTTCAAGAAAAACAACAACATTTGGCATTTAATGCTAATTTCTGTTTGACAATGCTCGGAGCAAAGAAAGAGATTTACTTGAAATTTTTGGCTTCCCTATTTTTTTTTTTCAAGATACGATTGTTTAGAGAGTGTAAGCGAGATACAAAACTGCTCCTTCCTTTAGTATTTGCGATTCATTGGATGCTCCTTCTTTTGGTATTTCTACCAATGAATTATTTTAAAACTAGTCTTGTGGATTATTATTTGCTGAAACTTAATTGAATTTTTCTTTAGAGAAACTTATGTGAGTTATTGTCTCGTGAGTGAACCTATTAAAAGAAAATTTAAAAAAATATTGGGAAAATTTTGAATAATTGAAGTAATTGTGTTGGGAATCAAATGTTTGAACTCATTAGATAATTGTTTTAAAATTTTATTTATTGAAGAAATTTTGCTAAAATTTTCAATACATACTTTTCTCTGTTCGCAAATTCGAAAATATTCACAAAATTACAAAAACATATTCCACATAAAAACGCAAGTATACTTTAAAAAAATAAATAATAGAATTGTCATATAACTTATTTATTAAAAAATAATAATAAACTTTGAGACTGGTTTAGAATTGATTTCCAAAAGTTACAGTAAACTTTTTGACGTCGATGCAAAGTTTTTGACGTTAGCGCTAATTTTTGATGTCATGTTTGCATTAGAATTTTTGGTAAGTATTTCGGCGAACAAAATTATTTATTAAAGCCAAACACTATCTCTTCTTTGCATTTTAGTGAGGAAAAAAAATTCCTATAAATTTATAATATGTATTTCAAAAAATAAAACAAAGTAACTTAATTCTTCTTAAATATTTTTTTTTTGTAAGAATTTTTAACACAATTTTGTTGCTTCAGACTGAGTGAATGCTTAATAGTTATTCTGTGGAAATACCCTAAGTTGGCTTGAATTTTACTCTACTTTGACATTTCGTTAAACACTAATGAAATCGGTTCCAATATTTTTAGAGTATTTCAAAATTTCAACAAACCAAGTTAACGTGGTATTTTTTTTTTGGCACACTCCCTATGTCAAAATAATAACAAATTCTCTTAAAAAAATTAAATAATAATTTTTTAAAAAAAAAACAGGTTTTTTCGAATTAAAAACAAATTGCCTGTTAAAAAGACCCTAACATTTTATTAAGTTTTGATTTAATAGAATTGTTTTTTGTTTTGAATTTCTGAATTTTTGTTTTGTTTTCGAAACTAATTTTTTTAAATTAAAAAATTCAGCGCTAGAGGTCCAAAATTAATTTGAAAACCGGAAATGATATAGGTGATGGTAGACCTGAAGAAGCCGCCATTTTTATGCGAAATTGGATTTGCCTGAAGACTATTATGGCAACAACAATGGATTTGGAGACTTGCCTTAAATCACAAATCACAATACAGGCAAGCGCGAATGTGTGGAGAGTATTAAACTATTAACATTAAAAAGAAAAAATATAATTTTGCCTCCTCAAATCATTTTTAAAAAATAAGAAGTAATTAATACAAAAACTTAATCAATTCGAAATAAATTCATACAACAGTACCCTAAATAGTTTCATCTTTTTCAAATTAAAATAGAGTTTGTCTGGAACTCTTTAAAAACTGAAGTTTAAAGTAATTTATGAAAACTGTGATCAATTTGCTTAAAAAAAATTTATTGAAAAGGTAGAAAAAAAGTATTTTTATTATAAGCCTTGCCGCAACATTTAGTGATATATTTTTTCTCTCAAAAGGTAAGAAAAACAAATTAAATTTTATTTTGAAACTTTCATAATATGTAAAAATGTAATTCAGACTATTTTAAAAATAGAATTTCTGAAGGGTATTTAACCTAAAATTATTACTTAAAAATTAATTATAAATTTAAAAATTAACAACGCAATGGTAAAAATAATAAAATAACTAATGCTTGTAAAATTTAAAAAAAATCTAGCTTTGAAATTATTCGAAAATATCTAGAGAATTTTCGAGACAGACGCCATAATAAAATATGTTTTGGATTTATAGTCTTTTCATACAGGTTTCATAAATCCACATGTATAAAAATTTTCATTTTTTTTTTCAAACATTTGAAATTGAAACGGAATAAACAAAGTTACAGTCTATAATTATTTTAAATATTTTTGCAACTTTCTATTTAGATCAAAATTTCATTAAGCTGTGAAATATGCGAAAATTTTGGATACCACATATCTTTTGTTCTCGAATTGAAAATTCTGATATATTTTCCCTTTTATACTGACATACATACATACATAGATTGCATGTACATATATTTTCTTAAGCAAATACTCACTTTCATTTAACTTCGTAAAAAATTTAATTCCGTTCTAGTCCTTTGAAGACATGTATTTATATATGCATATTGATGATAAATTAATAATGTGGTGCGTGTAATTAAATATATGTATTTGAATTTGACTAAAAAATATGGACTAGAACTGGAAAAATAATTGGAGAATCCATATTATGTATGTAGGTAGGATTTTCTCTTTTATAGTCTGGTGTAAATATGCAGGCACATATAGAATGATAGCTAACTTAAGCAACTATACTTACATATAAATTTTTCACTGTTAAATAGTTTTAATAAGCACAATGTAATGAATTCAAAAGTTAAGCAGGGCTTGAAATCTTAAAATTGAATTTTTGAGAGTTTTACATCAATGACAGGAACTGTTATCTTCAAATATTAGTTGAATCCAATTTTTTGTGTTTAAATTTTTAGTCTTATACAAAATATAGATATGTATAGGTATCAGACTTCATGGGTATATAAAATATATCTTTTTACAGCTGAATATTAGGTCTTAAATTTTTTAATATTTTTATTCTAAATAAAATATATGTGAAACAGAATAAAATTTTTGTCTTTGACTCCCTTAATATCCAACTTTTTCTAAAAAAAATTTTGCATCCATTTCTCGAAACTACTAAATGCGTAAGTAGTTTAAACATGCATGCATACTTACCCGATACATATTTCAAAAATGTTCCAAGTAATTCAACAAACTTATCTGATATTAAAAAAAAAATTTTTTTAAACCTCATGTTTTCACCTATTTTTTTGCTGTAGAAGGCCGATGAGGTGAGTCTAATTAAATTCCTGTAATATTTGAACTGTAACTTTTGCGAGTTTCTTTTTTACTTTTAATAAAAATTATACTGGCCAAGCAACATTACTAAAATATTATTTTGCAAATATATATTGGCAAAAACTATATTTTAATGAGAGATTTTATTGAAGTATTTTTATTAATTTATGTGGATATGATGAGGCATAGTATAGAAGGTACGACAAAAATGAAAAAAAATTTTTCATACATAAGTCTGAGAGCTACGTAATTGTTAAGTTCCTACCTAATATTTTTTTTTTGAATTTCTCCAAAAAATTTTATATCCAGATAATTGCCTGCCCCATATTTATTTTTCAAATTTAAAAATCCTTTTCTAATTTTTAGTATTTCACAATTATTTTCTGTTATAGTTTTTTAAGTCTAGTTCAACAGAATTTTTATCGTTTGCTAAATTTAAGTGTTCATCCGCCTAAATATTATTATTCATTAGTTATCAAAAAATATTTCATAAAACTGGGCAAAAATATATTAAATCATAAGAAAAAGAAAAAAGCCACCTTAAAACAAAATTAAGAAATGGTAATGGATGCGACACCTTCCCCTCAGCATGTTGGTCGTGAATTCGTCCGGCAATACTATACAGTATTGAACAAAGCTCCTGATCTCTTGCATCGTTTTTATATTAACCATTCAAGTTTTATTCATGGTGGGCTTGAGACACATAATCGTGAGGCAACATTGGCGATTGGACAAAAAAATATACACAGCAAAATCCAACAATTGAATTTTCGAGATTGTCATGCTAAAATTAGCCAAGTTGATGCTCAAGTTACTCTTGGAAATGGTGTTGTTGTTCAAGTAACTGGAGAATTGTCTAATGATGGGCAACCAATGAGACGGTTTACTCAAACATTTGTTTTGGGAGCTCAATCTCCGAAAAATTATTATGTTCATAACGACATTTTCCGTTATCAAGACCTCTATATTGAAGAAGATGTAGAAAGTGGAGAAACGCGTTCTGAAAATGATGATGAACAGCATGAAATCGGTTCTGCTATTGATTCAACAAAAATATTGCTAAATAATAACACGGCAGCTGCTTCAGCTGTTGTTGCTGCTGTTGTCTCTGCACCAAATACTGTGAGTTCCCCAGAACAACAACAAACAATGGTTGCCTCTGCTCCAGCAGGTACTCCTGGCACTGCTGCGCCACAACAAATATATTACGCAGTACCATTAGCTCAAGCTGCTGTGGCACCATTTAACGCTGCAGGTGTCGCATCAGTTGCTGCAGCACCAACCGGTCAAGTGACTGCAACTGTTCCTGGACAATTGATTACGGTGCAACCTCAACAGCAAACTACAGCTGGACAGGTAAATGGTGTTCATGATGAGTTGTTGCAAACAATTCAACAATCAGCGGCTGCCCAAATTGCTCCTGCAGTTCCTGCAGCGGCAGTTTTGGCGGGTTCCGGGGTATTACCAACTGTTCAGCAGGCAAGTACTGGTACAACAGTTCTATTATCTCAACAAAACACTAACATTGTGCCAACTGTACCCCCCTCTGTTGTTGCTGCATCAGTTACCTCTACGCAGTCAGCCTCAATGTCACAACAGCAAAACCAAATCATTCAAAATTCAACAGGACCAACTATTCCTTCAACAACATCAACTGTTTCAGCACAGCAACAAACCAATTTATCTGCTTTGCAAGAAGATAAAAAACAAGTGGATAAAAGGGAAACTTCACCAATCGAGGCTGAATCTAATAAAAAAGATGAAAATAAAATAAATGAACAAACTGAGAAATATGATGGCAAGTATAATTTCTTTAAATTTATTTCTTGATTTGTTTTACATTTTCATAATTATTTTTCTTGATTATCACATTTTAAAAAAATAATTGCAGTTATGAAGTCGTCATTAAATCAAAATGAAGTAAAAACTTATGCAAACTTATTTAAATCTGGAAATTTCAATAACACCGGCTTTGTTCCCTTACCACAACCTTCGCATCAAATTAATTCGCAAATATATTCAAAATCAACGGAGCCCACTAGAACGGAAATAAATTCTGCACAAACACCTGGATTGCCACAGAGAACCAACGCATCAAGACAAACTAAGGGTGCTTCTATTAAACAATATATTTCGTTTTACATTTTTAAAATTCTTATCTGCTTTAAATTTTAGATTACTCAGAGCGAAGAACCAGCAACGTAAATTCATTTGGTGATAGTCATCAATTGTTTTTCGGTAACGTTCCACATTGTGCAACCGAAGATGATTTAAAGGCATTGTTTAGCAAATATGGCACTGTTGTGGAATTAAGAATCCATTCTAAACAGGGATCAAAAATACCTGGTCAGCGACATACACAAAATTATGGCTTCATAACATATGAGAATTTAGAAGATGTTCAAACTTGCTTAGCGAATTGCGTAAGTTAGATAGAAATAATTTTATATTGCCGCATTTATAAATATCTATATTGTTACATAGAATTAGTTTTTTAAAGTTTGTAATTTAATAAAATCTTTATTCTTTCTTCGGAGTTAATATTCGGGTGGACCTATATTTTTAAAACATCGCAAATATAATTAACTTTTTTGTTACATAAATATTTCGTTTTTGAACGTAAATTTTTAATTGACTTAGGTTGAAAGTTGTAATAGCAATATTAGATGTTACATGTTTATTTCGTTATTTGACCATGCGAAAGTGTCGTAGTTTTGTTTCACTATTGTTTAAAAAATATACTGTTCTTATTATTTATTGTTAAAGAAGTTAATGTGAAAAAACGGCAATTTTATCTTATGTGAAAAATTGAAATATTCATATTTCTTTTTACTTATATGATTTATTCATATGGTAAGTAAAAAGAAATGATTTATTAATTTAATTTAAATTTAATTTTCTTAATTTCTTCAAACTGCGTTTTTCAAAAACATTTAGTGACATACTTATTTATGAAATGAAAAATCTATTCTTTGTGTTTGTTTAACATGTATTTGTTTCATTGTCAAGCCAATTAATTTATTTTAAAATTAAAATCATAAATTTATATAGTGCAATAAAATAAAGTTTATTTCATTAGGTTTCTTATTTTAAATTATAAAAATTTTTATAATAGTATATTGGTACCCGTTGAATAACATTACAACATTTCAAAACTATGAAAATTAAAAATTGGAAAAACTGCCAGAAATAAACTAACTTGAATGGTTAACAAAATTTAGGTAATTTAAAATGAAGTGGTCATTTAACAAATTATATGATAGTGTAGCAAAATGCGATGAAATAAAATGTGGGAATTTTCCTTTAAATGTAATGACTTTCATGTAAAAACTTACTCAATTAATATTATTGGAGGTTGTTTAATAAATTGCCACAAATATAGTAAAATTTCACTGAATCCTTCAATAAATTATACGGGTAATGAATTTTATATTGCTGAAAAAGGTTTAAGTAAATTAAGGTATTTTGATAATTCAAAATTTTAATAGTTCAGGACAAAAAGTATTATTTATCAAGACTAACACACCTAAAAGTTACAAGTTTATGAACAATAAAAGCCTGCAATAATTTTTGAAAATTAACAATATTTTAATAAAAATAAATAGTATATTTTCTATTTAAAATTTATAGCTAATTTGCTTTATTTTAGCCGCTATATTATCCAGCTGAAAATGGGCAAAAACTAAATGTTGAAGAGAAAAAGACAAGACCTCGAAGTGATATACCTAATCGTCCACAAAATAACATGTCAAACAGTGGAGGTGGTTTGGGTGGTTCACAACGACCGGCTGGTGGTGGTGGGCAACCAAATCGATCACATTCAAATACTGGTGGCCTAATGAGAAGTGGAAATTCTGGTCAAAGAACTTCGGGTGGTAGTGGAGGTTTTAATAGAAATGACAACCGCGGTCCACCTCAAAATCGCAACACGAGCGGTAATATAAATCAAAACACATCAAGTGGTAGTGGTGGAGGTGGTGGTAGTTATGCACGCCGCTAACAATATACCATGATCATCATATTTTTACCCTATACAAATATTGTCGGCAAAAATATAAATTTAACAGCAGCCCACAATAGTTTCACAGTTGCCAACCGTAATCTTGTATTGATTAAAACTTCACCTATTCATATTGCAAAGACGTATAATAATAACATAAGAACGACAATGATTTGATAGGCTACGGTTAATACATAAAAATAATTAAATTTTTAATTTTTTTTTTTTTCGCCCTTTACTCTTCCTCTCCATACAATATTTGTAAGAAAAAAAAGCAGAATTGAACTAAAAGTGAATGGAGGATGTGTATAAAAAATATTTGAAAAAAATTAGTTGAAGAATAATAAAAAAGTATAAAAAAAGGATTAATATCAAAACAAGAACACGTTAAAGAAATTAAAGGGAATAAAATTTTATAAATATTATATTTGAAAACCATTGAAAAAATTCTGAGAATTTTTATTTTATATAATTTTTTCTTTTTTTTTAGTTTGTTATTTAATTTTTCATCATCAAATATAATAGAAATTCATTTTTTTTTATTATTTCACGTCTGATTTTCACTTAATTCTTTTTAGACCTTGGTTTAAGATTTGTGTAACTTTTTTTGTGTACACATACAAAATTTTGTGATCGGTTGAAGAATATTTATATTTTGATGATCACGATCTCTAAAAGACTCGAGTGAAAATCAGTCTCTTACTTTATTTTTGTTGAGAAGGTAAAAGTGTCTCCCCAAGAGATCTTTATACTTTCAATAAAAAAAAGTTTAGAAATTATAAAAAAAAAAGAGAAAAAATAATTTTTTATCACTTCTGTAAAAAAAAAAATATATATAAAAAAAATTAAAAAAAAAAAAATGTTTTTATAAAAAATTAAAAAAATCTAAAAAAAAAAAAGTAAAATGAAGTATAAATTTTTCAATAAAAATTTAGCAAAAAATCGCAATAAAAAGCAAAATAAAGACTTGTAATCTTATTGTTCATACATTTATAAAATATTCAATATAAAAAGTAAAACTAAAACTTTGCAAAAAAACTTGAAAAATTATACAAAAAAAAAAAGAAAAAAAAACATGTATATGTATATATATATATCTAAATGGAGATGCATATATATGTATATATATATATATGTTATATATATATATATATAGAATTTAAAAAACGAAGTGAATGAGTACAATTATTAAGAAGTGTTTGTTGATATTTACTTCAAAGGATTAGATAATGATAATTGAAAAAATGTGAAGATGAAAAAAAGGGTTTAAAATGTATAATAGACTAATTTATTTTAATTTTGTAATTATGGCTTCATTATAATAGTTGCGATTATATTTAACGAACTTATTGACTATACGTTTTTAAAAATTATATTTTGTTTTTAATATCAAATCTGTATTCTTCATCAGATTTATGTAAAGTATATAAAAATATATTTCGAATTCTTCAAAATGAAATACTAAATTTAATTATTTATGTTTTACTGAATTATTAGTCGACAGTTTTTATTCTTTTAAATAATTTTTAGCAATTGAAATCTAATCTTTATTATTCAAAAAAAATTTATTACTAAAGGGCAAACCGGTTTTAATTTTTATCAAAAGCAGTTCATCCAATTTCGGAATTAAAATTAAAATTTATATTTTGCAAAAAATTAAAAGATTTTTAATATATATTTTGTATTTGCCATGAAAAAATTTCTTGCAATATTGGTGTTGCATTCTGTGGGAATATTGTTTTTTTTACTTTGCGAAGCTAATTCAAAATAATGAGAAACTGTCGTATATAATTAACCTCGTATTAACAGTTCTTAAAATAATTTGTAATTTTAGGATAATTTAAATAAAAAAAAAACACTCAAAACGTGAGTTTAGATTAATAATTAGATTAAGGAAGAATAATAAAAAAATGTCAGTATAAATTAATGAATGAATTAGTTAAAAAACGAATTTAAGGAACGGTTTTTATTTTTAGTTAATGACTAAAAGAAAAAATTAAAATTTGTAGAAAATATTTTTATATATTAATTAGTGTATCAAATTAAAAAAAAAAGAATTATTTGCATTTTTACGAAAATAAAAACACGATGATAATAATACATGTAATTAAAAGTAATTTATAATGATTATATGAACAGAACTGTTAAGGCAATTCGTAACCACTTTCAAACTTAAATACTTTAATACGATTCATTGCTAGATCTTAAACTGTGTCAGTTTTAGTATTTTTTTGCTTTTTTTTTCTTTTTGGATTATGTCTTCCGGCGCTTATGAAACAGATCCTAGATTTTCAAATTCTCTTAAATAAAAAATAGTCAAATCATTATGAATTCCTAAAGAATTTGGAAAAATTCGTATATATAACTGATTCCTGCACAGTAAACTTAAAAGGTAACAAATAAGTTGCTGCTAACTAATTTGAAGAAAAATACGGAATATTTTATTGTTTTTTTATACATTTTTTTTTTTGTAAATACAAAAAGACTGTTTAAAAAAATAAACATTTAGACGTTTTTGTTTTCGAATTTATAACTATCTTATTTGTGAGAGAAAATATAATTTTAAAATAATGTTGTATTATTATGTATAGTGCACTGAATTTTCATATTAAATAAGATTTTCGAATCGCTAACAAAAAATGAAAATATAAAAAAATAAATTAAATAAAAATATAAAAAAAAAATAAGTATAAAAATTTTTTTATTGTTTTGAAAATAGGAAATACACAAAAATCTTTTACATACTTTTAAATTTTTCATTTAAGAACATTATGTTTTCGTCATGAAGACAGTTAGTTTATATGAAATATCATTTTTTTCTGAATATATTCGAAGGGAAACTGTATTATATTGATATTATTAATTTAGTCATTTAAAACAAATTTTAATGGCTTTATGAATAAGCCAATAAAATAGTATATGACAAACTCAAATTAACTAAACGATATTCATATGCTATAAATTATTTTTTCAAGCTCAATTAATGTTTTTTTTTTTTAGATAACAATAATTAATTGATTTTAAAATTTTAAGTTTTGCGTGTGCGATTAAATTTTAACTAACCTACATGTAATTTCATAGAGAAAGCATAATGATGAATAAAACATAAAAAAGTTACATTAAATTTAACAAAATGAAATAACATTTTTGTTCATTAATTGAATTCAAATATTCTTTAATAAATCTTTATTGTTTTTGTATGAAAATTCATTAAACACTTATTAATAACATCTTAGCATTATATTTATGTACGTATTTTAAAATAGTATAAAATAGTAAAATAAACGTATGATTATTTTATATAAATTATTCTTTTCTATTCTTACAGATAGGTTACCTTAAAATAATAAGATCACACATTTGGAATAGATTATTGTGAAAATTTTGATTACTAATATTGCCTGAATTACTTACATATGTATTTCATTTTAAAAATAATTTATATTCAAAATTAAAAATATGAAATGTACTTAAATTAACAACTGTGACTCATCTAGATGTTAGTTATTATAAATTATTAAGTTCTAATTTATTTTTTATTTTTTCTCCTAAAAAAATTAAAGAATTTTATTTGTATTTCTTCTATAGTAATTCTATTTTATTTCTATAAATTAAATTTTTAATATGAAGATTATTTTTTTAATAAACATAATCTAATTTTCCAATAATTCTATGAAAATTTAAAAACATTTCTGGTAGCCAATATTAAAACATTTAATTATTTAAAAAAAAAACAATAAGATTACATTGACTTTTCAATACAAAAGGAGCGCAATAATTTTAAGTATCTACAATTAAAAATTTGGAACTGATTAAATTAAAAATTATTTAATAATAATATTTTCCAAACAGCACAAATACAATTTTAACATAAAAATTTATTTTCTTTTTTTTATTTAATAAATAATAATGATAAAAATTTTTTTTTGAATTACTTAAATATGTCTGTTTTTAAAAGAAAAGTGCCTTTCAAAAATTATTTCATTATTGTAAAGGAAGTTGAAATTAAGTATTTTGCTAATATCAATTTTTAATCATTTTTCTTTCGATTTCACAAAAATTTTTTAAAAAAGTCAAAGTTCGATGAATTAATTTAATTTTGTAATAGCATTTTAAAACGAGTTTTAGTGAAAATAACTGTAAACTGAAATTATACCATTAAAAGGTGAAACACGTTTTTTTTTTTAAATAGGTTCCTTAGAATATGGTTTTTGTTTTATATTAATTCCCATTGTTTTTTTTTTATACATAAGATTATTATTGTATAATAACTAAGAGCAACTTTACAAAGATTCTTAACTAATTTCATTCTAAAGAATTTCAATAAAAAGTTTTTGTTGAAAAAAAGTTAAAATAACTATTTTCTGAATGGCTGGAGTAAAGTTAACAAGCACTTGTTAAAAATTGTGTTAGATAATTAACAAAAAAATTTAATTAAACAAAAAAAGTATAAACGTAAAAAAAGCTAACAATAAATAAAAATACAAAAAATTAACGTAAAAATAGTTCTTGTCAATACAAACAAAAGAAAAGATAATTTAATTTAAATTAAATGAAACATAATCTAGTAATTAATTTTAAATTTTAAAATAGAAAAAAAACAGAAAAATAAAAAAAACATAAAATTATAAAAATTTGCGTTTTTATATTCATTTTGGGAAAAATATGTTTTAAGATTTTAATAAAAATTATATTACGACTATTAGATGGTTCTATAGACTACTAAATAAATTTTTTCTACATATATGGAGGATTCCTTAAAATGAAGTAATAAAGTCATAAATTGAATAATTGAATTTCAAACCTAAATTCATATTCGCAAGAATGGCCGCAACATTTCATTGAATAAGCACTGTTGATTTTTGATAATTAAGTTCTAATTTACATAGCTCATAACATATAATTATAACTTCATCATTATGACAAAGCACGTCCGATAAATCAAAACTGAAAAATCTAAAAAAAATAATGTTCGAAAATGACAGTAGAGTGCAAAAAGTTCTAAAGGAATTCTTAAATTTTTATCTACATATTTACAGTTTTTGTAGTATACAAAAATTGTAGTGTTACAGTTTGAAAGAAATTTTTGTAGATTGTAGTTTTTGAATGGTAATATAGGGTGTAATTGTTGAATGTACTATAATTTAGACGTATGTGCGTTAGAATTGAGTTTCAGAAAAAACTATACAAAAAAAAATTATTTTGAAATTTTTAAACAATGTAAATGCTGAACTTCTAACTTAATACATCAAGCAATATACGAGGACAGCATAAAATTGATTAAGTTGCTAACTACTTGGTTTTTGTTTTATTTTAAAGAAAAGAGTAACTGGTCCAGATCAGAAACATTGTGCAAGAGATATTTTCTATTTAAATAGAATAATTTAAAAGACTTTTTTAAACAAGAGTCCTTGTACAAACAATAATGATGAACGCTGTTATATCATTCAAACTTTATTCACTCTATACTAGCATCGATACTACTACTATGTAAAAGTCTGAAGGTCAACATTGTCCTATGGTTTATTAACGCTACTGCACCAACTAAATTATTTAACCGCATTGATAGGACATGGAAAATGTAAACAACAACCTTTTTAGAAATATTGATGCGAGAAACATTTTTTGTGATTAAAAAAAACCATAATATGTATATAAAGTTGATAAGTCTTGCTTATTTATAAATTTTCCAATTTTTTACAATTTAAATTTAAGTTTTTAGAAAAAAAAGTTGAATTATCCTTAGATCGAATGGAACCATAATTTTCGTAGTTACAGTCGTTATTTTATGAACTGCAATCATGTCAATTAAAGATAAACTCTTAAAGATAATCTTCTACAGCAATTATAGATTCCATCTTTTCTAAATATATCTCAAAATTTGAATTGAATTTTATTCGAGATTAAAAACAAAAATTTGATCATATTTTAATTTATAAAGAAAAATCCTCTTAAATTATAGTTATGTATGTATACATATATGTATGTATGTAGTATAGAATCAAATACATACAATATAATTTTTCATATCCAGTTCATACTTATATGCACATACATAGATATATTCTACTCTTTCCTGGTTTATTTTCAAATTTTTCTTAATATACATATATTTATACATATACATTTATGTATTTTGTATATTTGAGACAGACTAAGCCATCATTCAGTATAGCATATTGCATATAATATGAAGTTTATATGTAAATAAATAAAGAATGCCTCTGTTTTATGTTTTTAATAGTTTCTATATTCAGTAAGAATGAAAAAATACTCTCGCTTATACATTTTGTATTGTTTTAATAACGCCCATCAGTTTCTACAAGATTTTTATTTCTTTTAATCAGTTTGCTTTTGAATTTCGAACAATTGTGATTTAGCGGCGTGACTTGGTGTTTTTGTAATCCGTGCGCAAATTTTTGATTAAATAAAAAATTAGGTTAGTTGAATTCTTTTCTCTCTTAAATTTATTTGCACATTGTTTTAAAATATGAAGTAAAAATACCAAGTTATATTTTTATAAAAATATTAAGCAAGTGAAATGGTTATCATTTTTAAAATTAATAAAAGTGTGCGCAGTTTTCAAAGTAATTGTTTTTTTCATTATTTCAAATGAAAATTAAAATAAATATTTTATTTGCTTGTTTTTTTTGTAAAAAAAAATTGCATAAAATGCAAGGTCTTAATAATGTATTTTTTGTTTCTTTTTTATCTAAAATATATTATGTAAATGTATTACAATATAGTAATGGGATAATACGACAAAAATCAGTAGGTATTGATATGGATGTAAGGGCGCGGGCAGACCTGCAATTTTTAGTTTTGCAATTTCTGCTTGATTGCAAAACCAATACGCTAAATGTACATATGTATGTACATACATATGTATGTGTATATGCATAAAACTAATGGCTACATGACTTAAATACGCAATTTTGAATTTTCTATTGTACATACATGCATATTTATGAAAATTCAAAACTTCAAAGATCAAAAAGATTAATTCAATTTTGCTAAATTATTTTTAGATCAAGGATTACTAAAATTACACGTAAGAACCTACCTAAATAAGTAATATTTAATTTAAGGACATGTTTTGCAAAAGTAATAACTGAACGTAAAATATTTTCGATAATTGAGTTCTAACCAGTGTTGGGAATATATATTCGAGAAAATTGTGCTAGATTAGGCGAAATACAATGTCATTTTATGAGAAATTTCGAAAATTTGGTAATTTAAAGGAGTTTAGTTAAAAAACAAACATTTTTTTTATTATATAATTTACAACCTATAGATATGTATGTATGTAAATAAATGAAAGTATATTAAAAAACTTAAAATTTAAAATGACCATTAACAAATTTATGAAATTCGAATCAGTAGCAATTGTTGAATAAAAAAGATGTGATACACTATATCAAACAATGAAAGTTGTCTATAAAAAGAAACCTTTACATATTTTTTTGAAAGATTTTTAATGCTTTTTCAAAACGCTTTTATGCCAAAATTGTACTTGGGATAATGTTTTAAAAACTCAATGCAAAACCTAAAATCATTATGCTAAATTTGGCATTAAAAGTGCTAATATCCCAACACTGGTTCTAATATATGTCTTAATATAATACGCGCTCGATAAATCCAAACAGCAGATTTTGTCATTTTTCGAAAATTGATTTTCAAGCTTTTTTTTTGTAACTACTGCAAAAGTATTATAAGCTAGAAGAATGGCATAATAGAACATTGTTAAATAATATTGAAGAATAATAGAATTATTCAGTTTCTGCAGATTTTGTGAATATGTGTAAAAATACTTTTAAGATTTAATTTGAATTATTAAAATTTCCCGTATATATGAATGCAGATACGTAATAATTATATTTCGTTTAATTTTAACGCTTAAACGTACCCTAAATGAGGGTAAAATTTTAAACATATATAAATTTTGTATATGTATAGCAAATTAAAGATCAGTAGACAATGCTGCCAGCAGTGCTCAATGAAAATTTCCATGAAAGATTCAATCTTATGTCACTTAGAAAATAAAACTTTTTTAAAAATGAAAAGTTAAAATTTCAAATTTTTCGAACTTTTAAATTATGTGGTTCCCAAATCTGAACAGATTATAATTAATGTTTACTTCATCATTCATTTTGTGACATATAAAAATTATTTATTCGTCAGCCTTTAAAGAAATGCAAAAGCAAAATTAAAATAATTATCGGTTGTGTTTACAACGTACAATTGGAATTCATGACTAATAGCAGTTGCATTTGATATACTGGGAAACGGACAATAAATTTAAAATTTCAAAATAATTTAATCGCAAAATTAAATCTAATTTTATCAAAAAAGGTCATCCTGATTACGTAAATATAAAAAAATTTTTAATGATTTTTCGTTATTTCCAGTGGACGTTATTTAAAATAGTCAGCCTTTCCTTTTTTTTTTATTGTTGATAAAATATAAATGTTGTGTATGTATACAATACCAACAACGGTTGTTTATATATTTTTTACAGGAAATATGTACATACATATGTACACTAATAGTCACAAATATCGTTTATAAATATAATATTGTGGTGCTATATATAAAAAAAAAAGATATGCATATCATATACACATGTATGTACAAATGTAGCACGCAACTTTGTATGCTAAGTATATATGCATGTACATACATACATATGTATATTATTATGTGGAGCATTTATATTTTCTTTTGCCTTTCCGTTTTGATTAAGCCGCTTCCAATCGATGTATATGTAGATACATACATATTTTTTAAATTAATTTTTAGGTACACATTTATTCTTTTGATTTGAAAAGTTGCAAAATAAAAAATCATAATACATAATTATTGATGACCTTCGATTAAAGTAGATATTCCAGACCCAAATGCGTATTTATACATATGTACATATGTACATAAATACATATCCATATAATATTTGCATGATTATACATGCATATACATATATATATATTTAATATTTTATTTTAATTAAGTATGCTTAGAAGTATTATAAGTAAATGGAATATTAGAAAATGAGAACTATGGGACTTTAATTAGAAAAAAGTTCATTACTACCTAAGTATATCAGAGATCAAATATTTATTGTATGTACATATGTGCATTTACTATTTTACTTATATGTACATGTATACATTATATTCATCTTTTTTTAATTTTGATGAATATTTAAAAAAATAAACTGTCAACAATAGTTGCAATTATACATTGCAATTTTATATGAAAAAAATCTCGATGTCTTCATTAAAAAAATTCATCATACAGCTGTTTATGTTAATTTTTTGTTTACAGAAAGGTAGCCTGGGTTCTTCACCCATTTTTCCTTTTATTCACTTTTGATGACAGAACACTTAATTTTAAAGAAAAAGTAATTGGTTTGGATTTATTTGAGATTTTTGTGAAATGTTTAAGTTACACACCTCGAGTATATGAAAATAAAGTAGGATATAGGACGTGGCTCTATAGAGGAAAGTTGACATTTTGATTTACTGGTATTCTCAACTAGAAATTTTCTTAATATGTGAATTTTCATTACGTCAAAATGAATTGTGTGTGTCAATTTTACATATCGTTACTTTGATTGACAGTTAATTTTAAAGTTAGGATATTACCTTACTCATGCGCCATTTTTATAATATTACCTCAAGCAAACCGTATTGCTTCATGTTATGATTGATATGAGAATATAAGGAACGCCGTTTAAAGGTCATAAAGAATGGTTTATATTTGTTTTCAATTAATAATAATTAATACTTTATTTTTTAATCTAATTTAACATCATTTATAGTTATTCACAGATTTATAACATTTTTTTTTTTTTTATAAATTTGTGAACACCTTCTTTTTCTTTCTTTCACATATGTGTGTAATTATAAAATACTTTCAATACATAATATATATCTTATATATTTATATGTATATAACGAATAAAATTTTATTAATCAACATTTTTCACTTTTTCATTTCTCTTTAATTCCTTAGCGGAAGAAAATTCATCTTGAATCGTATTGAAGATTGGATTATCATTTCGTTCTTTGCTATCATTGCTTTCATTACTTCTATTACTGTCATCGATATCCTTCTGTAATAAAATAATAACAAAAAAAAAAATCATTTTAAAAATTAAAGATAATTGACTAACTGATCATGAAATTGACTAATATATATTTTTTTCTTATATAAAATAATTCTACCGTGTTAAATTGAATTTGGTTATTCGCCTGTTCAGTTTCTTTAAATGCTGTTGCTAAATCCTGATTAATTGCAAATAAGGGTGTATCACCGAATCTTATATAAACAGGTACATATCCATCTTTAGGTTGAAGCTTTTGACCAACATATAGGGCATAAGTCGATTGTGGATTTCGGTAACTTGCTGGATGTGCAGCTACATATATAAAATAATTATAATTTGTGTTTTAAAAAATAAAAATAAATTTAATTTTAATTAAATCGAATCCAAAAATAATATTCTTATGAGTATTGTTGTACATATAGATAATAATTGAAGAGATTGATAAATAAATTAATCTGTTTTGATACAATTCCAAAGAATTCCGGAAAAAAGAGTACCTATTCATTTCAATCAGTCTGATCGTCTGTCCGTTTGTTTACAAAACTTCGATATACATAGTTTAAGATATTACATCTCTGTTATATAAATTTTTCGTGTTACTTCATTTTCAGTCACGAATTATTATCAATCTATTAGCTCAACCGAATTTCTATAGAAACCAAAATGTAACATTAAACGTCATTTCATCTAAAATTATAAGCTGTCATTGCTTAACAAAATTAATTAGTAATAACATTCAAGCTTTACACAAGTATATTTGGAGTATTACTATCATTGGAGAATTATTATTGCTCATTGGGCGGAAATTATTAAGCTTGCTATTAAATTTATGCAAAATTATATGGTAATAATAGAATTATTTATAAAAACCAGTTCTAAAGACTTAAATTTTTAGAATTAAAGCTAAATTAGCTTTAATATAGAGTTTGTACCCGCTTGCTATTGTGATAGGACCAAATATTGAATTCGGGTAGCTGCTACAACAACAAATTCGGGTAGTTGCTATACAACTTAAAAAGCCAATAATAAATATTTGAAAAATTAATAAAACTAGCTGCTTGAATTTTGGTTGTCATGTATTCAATTATAGCTCAAATAATTCTTAGCAGAATAGGAATTAAAGCCTGAACGCTAATTCATGACATCATCCCGTTGGTGTTGGCTAATTAAAGTCTTTTAATTTTTTGATGGAACTATTATATTGAATAGAAAATTAAATCAGTTATGTTAGCATGCTTAAGTGCATCATAAATTTAAAGTATCATTTATGTATGTATTGCAAAAAAAAACATCGCTCGCAAATATTTGTTTTTCAAACTGTTTTGATACTAATACAACTAGCTATTTATGTGCTCAATTTTTATAATAAAATCTAAATAAATATTATTATTTAATAATGACCAGATGTTTCCGTTCAAAATTCTACATGAATTTTTTCAGTTTATAGATAATTTAGCAAAAACTAAATATATGTTTCTTGTTTAAAAATAAATTAATCAATGATTACATGTCGCGGAGGGTGGGATCAAAATCTTTCTCATTTATATATCTAGGGTTTTCTTTCAGAATATGATAACAGCTTTTTTGACAAAAAAAAAATTATGAATGCAGTATTACTTAAAATTTTAAACGTTTCCTGATGTTGTGAAAGAAATTACAACTAACCATTTGTTCCAAAAAATTTTCTCACAAAATTAGACATAAACAGTTATTACCTTCTCCAGATCATAATATTTTCTCAGAAGCCATTGAAATATAGATACATATGTCATGTTATACACTTTTGAAATTAAAATTTGTATTCTAGTTGTTTTACCGTTTCGTTTCAAGTTCCGTTTCATGGTTGTTTATTATCGTATAAGTGAAACGCACCTTTAAAAACGTTCAAAACTAGGTATGTGAACTTATGCTGTTCTGATTGATACTACATCTTACATCAGCCATTAGCAATGTGCGTTCCATTGAACTTTAAAATACGGCCTATCAATAAATTTTCACTAATTAATGTTTTAGTAAAATAAATAAAAATAACACAAAAAAAATGCGATCGTGTTTTTCTCCAAACAGTAAAAATGTAGATATCATGTTCTAACAGAAAACTCTCGATATATTTATGCAAGTATGTAGATCTATAATTTTGAATATTTTACATTTTTGTAATTTTCATTTTAAAATCGTTTTTTTTCCATTTCAAGTGAAAATTTTATAGATTTAAGTAAACAATTTTTTAATATTTTTTTTTCCTAGTTTTCATCATTTCATTTAAATATCATGAAAAACAAATCAGTATACATAAAATGAAGCCTCACATAAAATTAGTGATGAATTTTAATAAAGGAAAAACTACAAATTAATCAGAGGTTTCGCTTATTTACGTAATTTCCATAATGTTTAGATTTTTTCCCATAATATACTTTGTGTGTGTTGTGTTTTCCGCTAGTTTCTTTATGTTAAAACTAATTATAATTGTACTATAGAATTGTACAGTTTATTTCTTCTATTGTAAATCAAAAATAAGAGAGGAAAAAGGACCACCAAACCAAAAAAATTAATATTAAGTTAAGATTATTTATTAAAATTTCAATATTAAACTAAAATACACAAGTGAATAAATATCAAATATCTAAGTATCAAATTTAAAATTTTACAAACGAGCGTTTTGAAAATTTGCAAATTTACAGAAAGAAGCAAGTAAACTAGAATTAGCTTTTGATTTCAAATAAGTTTTTCTAATAAAATTTAAAATTTTAGACAACAGGTCGTGCACTTAGCATAAAAAGAAAAATGCTGTTAGAATTACCAACTGATTTACACTTAGAATGTTTGTATTTTCATCAGTTTTTGTATTATAAACATTCTAGAAAAGCAGTTAGTCTTTTTTTTGCTTCTTCGACCTTGCACTTAACATATTTCGAACACACTGAACTCACAAACTATTGCACGTATTGCACTGAAATCTATTGCAAGAGGACCGTTTGAAATTAAAATTAATGCAAAACAAAAACGCATTCAAAAACACAAAAATTTCTTACTTAGTATATAAAAATATTAAATTTATAAAATATTTATTACAAATCAAAGCGAAATAGACAATCATGATTTTACAACTCTTAATTGAAATTATTTAATTGAAATTTATCATAATCCGCAATAATTAAATTTAATAATAAAAATTAATATAAACGTTTTTTTTTTAACTATATTTCAATTTCCGTTTCAATTAATTCTTGTTAAAAACAAATTCCGGACACCTTTAACTTTAAATTTTTTTTTTTCCTAAAACAAAAAAAAAACAAAACTTTAAATTCTAGGAAGTGACTCTTATGAATAAGAAAAAATGAAGGCTTTGTTTTATGTACAAACCAATCATGAAAATATATGTACATGCCTATGTATATATGTACAATCAGACAAATATAATCACTTAAAATATATACACACAAATATATTACTTAATCGCGGTTGAGAAAAAAAAACCAAAGTCCAATAAAATAGCAAAGGCAGAAAAGAAAGATTGAAATTTAAAAAAAAAAAAAAAAAAGAATTTTTTTTTAGATTCGCGTTTATCTCACTTTATTGAAGGGGAAAAAGATCGTTTTTATATAGCGAAAAAATTAATTTATTGAATATGATAGTCTCTGTTTATTTTAGGATATTTTTTGATTGTCTTATATACTTGCAAAATTTTAAGTGAAATTCAAGTTATATGTGACTTTGAATTGAGTTGATCTTAGACTTTTCCTGAGTTTACCTTAGATATGTGTTATTCTTGAGAATTAATATTTAATGTGTATTTAATATGCGCAGTAAAAAATATAGTATTCTAACAATGTTAATAATATCATGCTAGTAGGTTCGCAACAGTTAAAGCTCGGTTAGCAACAGTTAAAGCAGAATTTATTGAGTTTAAATGGAAAAAAAATTAAATTTCGATTGTATAACTTTCAAGAGAATTTTACGGGCAGCGAATGATGTTACGTAGCTAGTTCTGCCGAATTTTCTTAATTGTAAGAAAAAATGTAAAAAGAAGAGAAAAGGCAAGAATATTATTTATTATTTTTTTGTTAGCCTGTTTCCACTCTCTCATCCCGCTTCTGGAGTATTATGGATTTTCATATACTCTTTTCTGTGGTAATGATAAAACGTTTACATAAATTCATACATGCATGCCGCGTAAACGCTGCGGTAAAACATCTTCCTTAATCGTAATTAATAATATGATTTAACGTAAATTATAAACCTTTTTCGTAATTTTATTTGAAAATTTGTAAATTGTATTTGAAAATTTACAAATTATCTTTGGTCGTTTTATAATAGACTTGAACGCATCAGGTGATGATTTTCAAGTTATTTTTATATTTTTATCTATAATCAATTAAACAAAAAATTAAATTTAATTTTTTGATCAGTTTTACTTTTAACAACGTTAGAAATAATTCGCTTTTTTAATCTTTAATTACAAAGTGCTTTGCAACTTTTGCTTATTTTTTTGTGGTTATCTTTTATAATTTGTGAATTATTTCTTTTTTCTTCTTTAAATAATAAATAACAATAGATCTATTTGTTATTCATCAAATTACCTATGTATATGTTTATATGTATGTAGGTGTACATATAATTATAATTTTAAATAAAAATCTTAATGATCATTTATTTAATTTATAGAAATTTGTAATCTTCATTTTTAGCACTTTACCAAAAAAAAAAAAAAAATTTAAAAAAAAAACCTATTAGTTCGACTCTGTCCGTGTACTTGTTTACAAAACTTCTAGACACTTTAAATACTTTATAAACAAGGAGATTTTTGACTTTTAAGTAATAGCACCTCAAGATTCTAAAAATGCCATAACTATTTACTGTAGCGTGTATTTATTGTAAAAAAGTTATGCCTGGCTTTTTCTATAGCGGCATATTAGATTTGAATTTTAAAAAAACAAAATGGCTGATACAGTTAACCGTTATGTAAAATCAATTTTGTTTTTGATAAAGTTTTTCTTCTAGCCTGAAGTTCTGGCAGCTCTTAGATACTAATAAATGTTTGTTTCATTAGAAGAAAATAATTTTTCACTTCGATCCTTACTCAAGGTATTACCTCACGAAATTTTTAAAGTTAAGCAGTTTCTGCACGTTATATTTTCTGAAACTGCTAGATTTTCCAAATTCCTAGAAACGTAGAAATCTAACGGTGAATGCCATTCCATCAAAAAATATAATTATTTATCTTAAATCACGCGAATAACTCTTGAGTTTACCATTATGTCAGAACAATACTTTTTTAAATTTTTTTTTGTCTCATCCCAAATCTATGCAAT